ATTTTAAAAGTTTCACCTTAGAAATTTCCCTCTCACTTGGCCTGACATCTCCATAAGCTGTTTCTAGCCCCCAGTGTGTCTACTAAGAGGGAAAACTGCATTCATCGGTTTACACTATACGTGTTTGAATGGGCCTGTCTGGATTAGCATCTGCTTCAAACACAAGTTCACTTACACTACTATTACAGAACCAAGAGCTGAGGACAAATTCAGACGAAAAATTCTTAAAGTAGGGCTGTTTGGGCTTCTTCTCTTTCTAAATCAGGCAGCAGTTCCTCATTGTACCTTAACATACTGGAGGTGTATGGTGGGTCTTTTTCATCTTCTGCCCCAAAAGATTCAGACCTCATTCCATCTCGACCAGGGTGAAGTTCCAAGATCCTAGGACACCAAGAGACAGGCCTAAGCCGTGGCTTTCTGACAACCAATGCAGTCCCAGAATCTGCAGTGTAATGTGGGGTACAGACAGAGTGATGCCCCTGAAGGGTGGAAGAACACAATGAAGCATCAGTTATATCTTGTTGTTACTGCAAAGTCTTTAAGATCTGGAGGGAGAAACTCTGGTCCGTCAACTTGTAGATGCTGTGCCAAGAAATGGATTTATTTACCAAAACTGGCACTGTGAAACTGGGCAAAGTGTTTGAGGTTAAATGTAAAAACTTGTGACAAAAGGGAGTAATCCTGTAGTCGATAATCCACTCAGATCCCAGAAGCATGAGAATGTGTTGGTGAACATGGAGTACGAGCCCCTTGTTCTGGGTCCAGTGCCAGAGCAGCCCTGCACACTCCAGCTTAATTACACAGTGACGTGGCTGCCCAGACACTGTCAGAAAGGAATGACTCCTTTGTGGATGCATTTTCCACATGCTTCTCCTACATGCTGGGTGTGTCTGTTTGTAGGATCCCGTGTGGCTTGAGTGAAATTACAGCTTAAGCATTGCAGCAGAAGTACAGCAGTACTTCACCAACGTGTTTTAGTGAAGGACAGACGTGTAGATACAGGAGAGAAGTGTGGGAAACAGAGTGAGGCTTAAAGTCAAGGAAGGTGTAAACAGGAAACGAGTGAAAGGGCTGACTCACATCGGGAGACAGCCACAAAATAACAGCACACAAGATGTTCTGGGAGAAAATGGTGGATAGAACATCCAGGTGGAACTGCCAGTCACAGGTTAATTTTAACTGCCTGACAGAGAATTGGAGATGACCTCAGTAATGGTAAGCAAGGCAAGATCAGTAAGAAATGAAACTTTAAACTAACTAGAACATTGGAAGAAAAAGAAAAAAAAAAAAAGCCAAAAGCAAAACCAGAACTTTGGCAGGACAAGAAATGCAATGGAAGAAAGTGAGCTGTTCAGCATTTTTCACCTGGGAGGTTAGCTTCCCATCTTCCACATCTCCAACTTGACTGTTCAAGGCAGGCTGTTGGTTCTAGTTTCAGTTCCAGATGTGCACTGTAGCATCCAATGGAGACCTGCATTCCAGTGATGCCTCTTTGATTGCATCTGGTTCCGCAGTAATTATGGGATAAAGCATAGTTTTGCCAGTGTGGAGAACACACACACCTTACCCAATGTACAGATAAGAGAATATGTCAGACTGAGATGACAGAAGTATTTTTGCCTGCTCCTTGCTCTGATCAGGACAAAGATTTAGTACAACGTTTTTGAAAGCTTTCCTGGATATGTAGAAGCCTTAACGAGACCGCTGGAGGGCAGCAATGTCAAAGGAAATAATTCATCAAAGAGATGGTTGGAATTTTTTTTGTGAAGACCCAAACCCCAAAATGAGGCTTAATGACAAAGTAGAAATAATTGGAAATAGTTTTTTGCTACCTGGGTGATAAATGTGCAAAACAGGGCAGTCCTTCCTGTGCAGAAGATATCATTCCACTGTTATTAGTCCAGCAATATTTAGATATTTAATGAATACCTGTCGGCAACGAGTTAAGATTATAGTTGGTCAAGCACTGCTGCTCATTGCTTTAAAGCAGACAAAAAATATACTGGCTGATATACAGGCTTGGGTCATAACATCTGTTATATTGATAAAAATATGAGCAAGGCAAATAAAACTGTTGGAACTTGTTAAAAGAAGTGTGAGATAGAGTTCCACTCTGCAGTATGGGTATGTACACATCATCACTTATTAAGTACTTGAGCTGCTTGATTGCATTCAAGTCACATTCAGCTATTATATAGACAGATATGCTTTCTTACTCTCAGTCTTGCAAAGCTTACAAGCAGAAAGAACAAGCTTTGCTTGTCTTGTCCATAGTGTGACCTGGACACCTGACCAAATCACCACAAGTCTGTGAGGTGATTCTGTTAGGTCACATCAGGAAGGAGCCTTTGACAACACATTACTACCAGAAGATAGCATGGACAACAGCTGATCATCTAAAGGTTCTGGTGGGATGGACCTTGATATCCCACCAGGAGAGTCTGAAAAAAAAAAACAAATATAGGAAGGTAATATGAACGTGGCAAGATATGGAAAGAGTGGGAAAATCCAGACTTCAGCAGTACTTCAGTTCCTCCAATTGAAATGTTGGGCAGAAGTCATGCATTGCAGTTAGAGAAAGGTCTCTATTTGGACAGATTACACGTGTAAATGCAAAGTTTCTGTTTGGGGTTTTACCATTTCTTACACACACAAGACCCTCTTCAGACTTTTGAAGTAATGGTTGTAAAGTGGGTGATGTATATGCAAATTGTTCTTTATTTTTATAGTATTCATATGGTCTAGTATCAGATGTGGAGGTTGGCAGCCCAGCCTGTGGCAGGGGGCTTGGACCTTGATGATTCTTGAGGTCCCTTCTAACCAAAGCCATTCTATGACTCTGTGATTCTATGATATGGAAAAGCGAATATATAAGTGAATTAAATAGCTTTACAAAGGAACAGTGGCATGTAATTTTAAATTTTATATGAATAAGAGATGACAGCATAAAAGCAGAGATCTAACCAAAAGTAAACCAGTGTCATATGGGAAATGACTGTACAGTCCTTAACAGATCTTGAGGATCTCCCAAGCATTTGACAGAAGGACCTCATCTCCATTTCCAGATTCAATGGTGGGTTTCTGGATTGCAATTGGAAAAAAAGGCATCCAGCTTCAAAACTGAGATGATTTGCTTGGCAGTTTTACTGAAAGACAGTGAAGGTGAAAGTACAGAAAGCTTTTGCCGTAGTCAGATTTCATGTCCATCTATATACTATTTAAACCAAAAACATCTGCCGCTGCTCTGTGGCTTTCTGAAAAGCTGGGAATTAGTTCTTTAAAAAATGCTGGATTTTATTAACAGCTAGCAAACAGATGTTGCGATTAATTATAACAGCACGTGATGAGAAAAGTTGGAATTCTGATATGGAAACAAGTCAAAATAGGGATGTTCCAACCTACTTAGGAAGTCAAGGTTATACCTACGAGCCAGAAATAAACAGTGAAGCTTTCCCATTTGAAAACACATGAACATGGCCCTATCATTGTCAGATGACAGCAATTGCTCTGACTTGCTGTAACCTTTGGAACAGGACATTGCAGACTTGCTGAGCTTTCCCTTGGGAAAGTTTCAGTTTTCGCAGGGAACTGAAAACACAGCATTCCTCAGAGTCAAATCTGGTGTTGTATTTGAATGGTGAAACACAGCTTTTGTTGCACTGAGGAACTAAGGTTTGCGATAAGGTGCAGGCACAAAGCCACGTGTGACATGCCTGCAAACACCATTCTGGGGCTTGCACCCGAGGCCTCATGCAGATCTGTTCTTGGATGAACAAATGCTGGCAAATTGTTTTCGTGATGGCCACTTGCAGGTTAAGGCCATCAGAGGGCAATAGCACACCAGCACACTGCCTATCACACTGCCACCATTAAAACTCTGCAAATTCCCTTTGCAGGAATCAGAGTCCTAGAATCATTAAGGTTGAAGAAGACCACTGAGACCACCAAGTCCAACTGTCAACCCACCCCAATGCCCACTGACCATGTCCCTCAGTGCCACATCTGCATGATTCTTGAATACCTCTGGAAACGGTGGTCACCACCTCCCTGGGCAGCTGTGCCAATGCATTACTGGTCTTTCAGACAAGAAAATGTTCCTAATATCCAACCTGAACCTCCCCTGGTGCAACTTCAGGCCATCACCTCTTGTCATATCACTGTTACCTGGGGGCAGAGGCCGACCCCCACCCAGCACAGTCTCCTCTCAGTTGTAAACAGCACTGAGGTCTCCCTGAGCCTCTTCTCCACACTGAACAACCCCGGCTCCCTCAGCCGCTCCCATCACACTTGTGCTCCAGATCCCTCACAGCTCCTGCTGTCACAACCAGGATGCCGCTGACTTTCTCGGCCACCTGGGCACACTGCTGGCTCAGCTAACACCCACAGGTCTTCCACCTCCACGCAGCTTTCTGCCTCTCTGCCCCAAGCTTGCAGCGATGCACGGGGTTGTTATGACCAAAATGCAGGACCTGGCATTTAGCTGTGCTGAACCTCACATGGCTGCCCCCAGCCCAGCAATCCAGCGCATCCAACTCCCAGCTGCTCTGTCAGCGAGGAAGAAGCCCCAGCAATATTGGCCTCTTTCACTCCCAGCACGACGCTGGGAAGGAAAAACAACAACAGAGAGAGGAGGCAGGGCAAACGCGAGGCTGCAAGGCCGGTTTCTAAGGAAATATCAACCACTCAAGTGGCTGTTGTTAGCAACCAGCGTACACAGCCATGACGTTAGCACGGGCTGAGGGGAAGAGTGATGATATTTCAGGTTGATAATGAAGGAGGCAGAAACAACCCGGAGGGCAGAAAGGCTGTATGAGCGTCTCATGGAGGCTATGATGCTAGATCAACCGCTCTGCTTAAAGTGACAGTTGATAACAACGGAGCTGCTGCAGTGGTGAGAAGGGCATTGGGTGAGCAGTGAGGAACAGCTGGGGGGTTCACCCCTTGTATCTCATTCTGGGCCAGCTCTCGCCGCCCGTGCGGTCGCTCAGCAACGGGCACCAGTGGTCTCTGGGCAGCGGAGGCCGCCATGGAGCAGCGCAGCCCCTCCACCCGCTCACAGGTAACGTCTGGCGGGCACACGGAGCTCTTCTTCCATACACATAGGGGCTTTAAACATTCATCTCCTCACGTTCTCTCCTCAGGACATCTCCCACTTGCTGAGCAGCACCTTTAAGGACCTGTACACTGGAGATGTTATAGGGGCGGACATAGAGGCGAACTGGCTCAAGTCCCGAGGAGGAGATGATGCTTATCATGAGGCCTTTACAGAGGAGCTGCAGAAGGTACAAGGCAACATCCAGGCAGAGTTTGGAGCTCTGTTCGGGTTACTTTTTGTTACTCTATGCTGGCTTCAGCCTCACCTATATTAAAATAGGGGCAATACAGTGCAATGATGACACGCAAATTCATGATGGATTAATGGGCTGAGGGCAGTTGTATGAGGTTCAACAAGACCGAGTGCCAGGTCCTGCACTATAGAACAAGCCCATGCATGGCTACAGGCTTGCAGCAGAGTGGCTGGAAGGCTGCATGGAGGCAAAGGATCTGGGGGTGTTAGCTAACAGCCAGCTGGACATGAGCCAGCAGTGTGCTCAGGTGGCCAGGATGTCCTTAAGTTGTGCCAGGGAAGGTTCAGGTTGGATACGAGGAAGAATTTCTCAGAAGGACTGGTAACACTTTGGCACAGGCTGCCCAGGGAGGTGGTGGGTCACCATCCCTGGAGGTGTCCAAGGAACATGGAGATGTGGCACTGAGGGATGTGGTCAGTGGGCATGGTGGGGCTGGGGTGATGGTTGGACTTGGTGATTGTAGATGACTTTTCCTTAACCCTAATGATTCTGAGACTCTGTTATTAATTTTAAGGTCTTTTATAAAAATGAGAGAGCAAATCTGAATGCATCAATAAATGAATGCATGAGTGCTCACAGCGTGTTTTCAGTAATAGATGTGAATACTGATTTCTGATGCTGTGTGCCTGACCAAGATTTATTTCAGCTGACAGTACATGTCTCCCACTCCTGTGTGAGAGCTGAACCTGTCACCCAAGGCTCACTTATGTTGTCAGAAAATAAAAAAAAATAGGGCCCTTATGGGGCACAGTCTGTCTGATCCATTGGATTCATTGACAGTGGAGGGAACTCACAGTAAGCAGGACAGGAAGAAGCATGCAATTTTAGCTGAACGGATCCTGCTCTATTAAAAATAAGTAAATCACAGTCAAATGGTTAAATCTTCTGACATAAAAGCTCAGTGGAAAACTCAAATAGGCTACAAGTGCTCTGACACCAACTGAGGTAAATGACAGACATTTCTCCTCATCTTTCACGTATTCTTGTTGATACATGGGCAGTTGGATACTGCTGCTTAAACCAGCTCGAGCTAAATAAAAGTAATGAAGGTGTTTTAGCATGACAATTTGTTCTTGTGAATTAATGATATTTTACCAAGCTCTGTCTACCACTCAGACAAATAGAAAACATTTCTCTGTAAGGACATATTTAATATTTGTGACGGGTTAAATTACAGTTATTTCTCTGTGCTGACCCTTGCCTATGACAGCTTGTAGCAGAGTATAACCGCCGACTGACAGAAGCTGATATAGTAGAAGAGAACATCATTCAAGCACAGGCTCGAGCAAAAGCTGAAGAAGAAAGGGCCCTAAATGTGCTTAAGGGAGATGCTGGGAAAGACTTCCACAAAATGGGATTACCACCAGGTGAGGATTCTGGAAATGCTGTCTCTCCCCATTATATGTGCCTGTAGTACCAGGAGATGAACACAACATTGGTCTGAAATCAGTGGTGGGATTGTCACGAGGCTCATGTGCTTCTAGTTTAGCTTTACATCAACAGAGCAACTTTGATTTTGTGCAGATATTCAAGGAAGGTAACATCTGCTTAACACTGTTAGAAATTAAGTGACCAGGTTGTTTTCAGGGTATTAAACTTGCTGTCAATGGCTTACCCACTTAACTCACAACAAACATACACACCTTGCTATATATCAACAAGTAACAAAAATCATATGTTTCCCTGTTGGCTGAACAGCTGAGTTTGAACTGAATTTAAAGTTGTGGAGATGCATGTCCATATCCTGGGATTAAAATAATAGATTGTTTATCTATCCAAAGATATTGCCTGATAGTGAGTTAAAAAGAGAGCAGAATTTCGGGTTGACTTTCAGAGGCTAAGCTTCAGTGCTTATCTTTGTTTTCATCTTTTGCTGTTGCAGTGGCATCTTCTTTTAGGTGGATTGTGGATAATGAACTTCTCAGAAAAAACCATTTAACCTGTCCTGATGATTACATCACTGATAAATTACCTGTTACTAGAGCACCAAAAGGTAACTTTTACAGAAGAGAATAATTGGGACTTTTTAGCACAACCTGCAAGAACTGAAGCATTGGAGGACACAGAAGATCTGAGTATATTTTTATAGAGCAATATATTCCAATATAAAAATTCCTTCTGCTTTAAAAGAGTGTAAAACAGCCTAAGGGGTATTAAAGGGACAGTGTCAAAACAGAATTGGAAAATTAAAATTATTGTCCTCTGGAATTAATGGGTTTATGAGTTTAAATTTAATGGTGGTCACACATTTGCTTGCAGTTCGGTATTAATTGTAACTTCTCTGCCTCTATTCAATTTCATTTGCATATTGATGTAACTGCATGTTGAATATGAAGTAGAGAAGTGGTTATACCAAGGCAAAAAACATTTTCAACGAGATAAAACCGTATTCTGTAGGTTGAGATTAAAATTTTCTGATTAGTCAATATTTCAGTTTAATTTTCAAGTTAAGACTGTATAATCAATGCATATCAAGATGTTACAATCACAATATAATCAAGAGAGTTAGGCAAAGTGGACAATGATAACAAAAGAGAATAACATGGAAGGCTTACCATTCGGCTGGGCTCACCACAAAACACCAGAAGGAGGGATCTCCAGACGAGATCCTTCCCCACTGGTAGCCAGCTCTTAAATAGGTCTAGGAGGGGTGCAGCCAGGCTCCAGCCCTTCCGGCAGCACAGGTGAATTGCCTTCAGCTGTGCTCCTCTGGCTGACTCATGGCTCGCCTCAGGTGATCAATCAGAGGTTCAGGCCGTGACTCAGCAGCTCCCATACATAAGACTATTATGGAAATCTTTGGAACAATGTCAAGACTTCTTCATAGACCTTTCAAACTAAACTGTAGAATCAGAAATTCCAAGATTTGGGTTGTTTACCCACTGTAATTCAAAACAAAGTCAATAATCTAAACAGGTAGCCTCAATTTCACTGTTGAAGAATAAGAGCATGGATTGAAACGATCCATCTTGTTTATGTCAATTTTCTGACTATCATTCAATCATCATATAGAATTTACTGTAAACCCAAGAGGATGCTCCTTTAAGTCCCACTTGTAAGATTAAAACAGCTTTCTGACAGTAATAGAGCTTTCTTTCTATGTAGCTTGTTTATCTGATACTTATAAAAGTTTTGTTATTAAATTACTTTGTTTCATTTGTGCAAAATAAGCAATAAAAACAAATGAAATTTGAGAGGATTCGCTGGGTATCATTTTACCATTGACAAGACCAAAATAAATTCCTATGCCTGTGCTTAGAATAAATGCTTATCATTCATGTTCTTCTCTTTCAAAACTACATTTTCCTGTGAATTACAGGAAAACCAGAACCTGGCTATGTCAAGGAGACATTCAGTTTTAAGCAGCGCATTTCCTCACATTCATGTGAACGGATGTCTGCGCACCTCCAGAAAATAACTGGTCATCTACCAAGTGTTTCTTTATCCACATTAACTCTACCTTCAACTCCAGACTCTTACCACCAGACCAAAAAGACCAGTAAGGTACATTTAATTAACTTTAATTGGTTTTAGTCTGTCAGAATTGTAGGGACTATTGCTAATCCTGGAACAAAAAGTGAATGTCTTGCATTACTGATTTGGCTCCAGAATTTTTTCTCTTTGGTCTGCTAAGAACTGGTCTGGAGCACCTCTCCTATGAAGAAAGGTTGAGGGAACTGGACTTGTTCAGTTTGGAGAAGAGAAGGCTCTGGGAAGACCTCATTGTGGCCTTCCAATACTCAAAGGGAGCATATAAACAGGAGGGCTGTTTACGAGGGTGGATGGTGATAGGACAAGGGGGAATGGTTTTAAACTGAAACAGGGGAGGTTTAGGTTGGATATTAGGAGGAAGTTTTTCACCCAGAGGGTGGTGAGGCACTGGAACAGATTGCCCAAGGAGGCTGTGGATGCCCCATCCCTGCAGGCATTCAAGGCCAGGCTGGATGTGGCTCTGGGCAGCCTGGTCTGCTGGTTGGTGACCTGCACACAGCAGGGGGTTGGAACTGGATGAGCATCGTGGTCCTCTTCAACCCAGGCCATTCCATAATTCTATGAAAAGATAAATATATTTTTCTTTCAAGTTTTGATGCTTTCATAAGCCATGTACAGTTATCTTTTCCATTATCCTCAGAGTTTCGGTGTTAAATTTTGCATCACGATCTCTTTGTTTTTTGAAGAAATGCAGTGCCTGGCAGAAGGCAGACTGGAAAGGCAGTCAGTGCAAAGCAGAGAGAGAAGAAGAGCGTGCTTACCTTGCCAAGCTTGAGAAAAGACAGAATTTTCTGAAGAATCCCCGCTTTTTCCCACCGAATGCTCTTCATGGAGGCAAATCTCTTGTCATGTCTCAAGGACAGGTGGAACAGATCATAAGCAGCAGAGAAGCAGAATGTAACACAGGGTAAGCAGTGTATACATTTTATTGCTTCTGAACAGGAACTCACGGAGTTCCATATAGAATTACTTGGGATTTACACATGTGTTTTTTAAGCTAAAATATCTGGCCTCTTACATTTTTTTTTTCTAAAGTATACACTTTGAAAATGTTCATTTTGTCAATGTTCAAAGAACCAGCAGTAAAATAATGTCATTTTCTTTCTTTCTTTTTTTCCTTTTTCAGTGATACCTCATTTGTTCCTGTGTTTCTTGCCAATCCACCCACTGTTTTGTTCTCTGATTATAAAGTTGGCCAGGTTTATGAGGTAAGAACTTCTTTGTAGGGAATTTGTTTGGTCACTGGGAAGCATTTTGCCCTGCCACGATCTACGTATTTCACCCAATCTTTTGGCATCCCTCAGTTCAACAGAAATCTGAGCTTCTTCTTTATATTGATTTAATGAGCCTTTATCTTCTTCAAGATATCCCTTCACACATGCAACTAACACTAACTAAAGAGAATCTTTTCCAATCTCTACTTGGTTTTGGTAGTGTTTGATAGAGACTTCATTGAATAAATTGAGAAAAATGATCCGTTTCAGCTTTTGCAGTATTCCTGATTTCAAGGCCTGTCCTGATGATAAATGAGGTACTACTTGCAAAGCAATAGGGATTTGCAACCCTTATAATGAGTGACAATAAACACAATGTAGTATTGTATTTTCTTTTTAAATGAAGATAACTGTAGAGCTGCAGAACATCACTTCAACATGTCACCGTGTAAGAGTCATTCCTCCCTCTACTTCAGTGTTTGCCATTGGGCCAGGTGAGTGTTCTTTTTACTGCCTTTAAGATCATAAAACTTACTTAAAAGATCTAATGTATCTGCTTCAACAAAGGGTTTTCAGAGACTGTGTTTTTGTACTGCTCTGGATAGTACAGTGATCTGCTCAGCTCTTTAGAAACTTAATGTTGTTTTGCATTTCTGGGACCATTCACATGCAACTCAAAAGCAGATTCAAAAGGCCTAATGAATTATTTGAGAAGATTAACATTAAAATCTTTGAAATCAGATGCATCTGATGGAATATCTAGACTGAAGCTTAGCCAAAACTCATCTAGGAACAGACTCAGCGTCCATTGAAATTAGTGTGAAGAAAGGTCAAGAAACAGCATAAATTGCAGCAAGAAAGATTCGGTTGAGGAAGAGCAATTAAAATATCCTTCCTACATGAGAGGCATGAGATTAGACTATCTAAGGGGATTGTGCTATCGTGGTCAAAGCATTGTAGGAATGTTTGAAAGTTAAATGCACACCTGTAAATTTTGTTTTGTGGCAGAGGGAAACTGGGTAATAACATGTCCGTGCTTCTCCCCATTTTATTTCTGTACTTATGAGAAGCATATTTCAGACCAAAAAAAATTCTTCTGAGTTCAGTGGAAGATTGACATATGCACAGATTGCACTGGCAGTCCTTTTGTGGTTTTCATCAGCTTGACCTAGGCAATACATGGGGAGAGCTTACAGGCACCTTTCCAGAGAGACTCGTGATCAGGAAAACCTGCGCCAACTTTGGGAGGTTGTGATTTTTTACTTCTTTGCATTTTTTTTTTCCAAGGAAAATTTCCAGGAAAGGGAGGAATGATTGCTCCTGGGATGACCTGCCAGTATACAGTCCAATTTGTTCCTGACAGTCTAGCAGATTATGAAGATCATATATTAGTGGAGACTCAAGTAGCGGAACCTCTCCTGATCCCAGTTCAAGCTAAAAGACCACCTCCAGTGCTAACACGTCAGTAATGTCCAATTCTTAAGTTTCTCTTATTTTAAATGGATTTTTTTATTATTATTTGACTGTTTCCATTTTATGTTGCAAAACAAATGTGGATAAATGTGGCAATGCTTTTTCTACGTTTTGCCATCCATCTCATTTTCACTCCGAATAGATTTCTTCGCTATTAAAATGCAATCCTGTCAATTTTTTCATCAATTATTTGTACGTGCCACGTGGAGCTCATTTCTTTCACTGTACTAGAGAAAGGAACTCTTCTGTGATCATATCGTGTCAATCCTAAACTTCTAACTGTAAGCACTAAGGAATTACTTTTTAGTTATAAATATTTACTGTTATTCATTAATATTCACTCTGTGTTGCATTCAGTATATATTGATATGGCAGACCTGTTGAATTCGTCTCCCAAATATTTAACCTCAGCTGCAACAACCAAGGCAACTGTTCCACAACACTGCTTTTGTTTAAATACAGCCATCCTGTTACACTGATCTTTTTGAAAGATCACCTTACTGCCATCATGCAATGGAGTTTTTTAGTACGGAGCACCATTCAAATGTAAGGTGAATGCAGAAATACACAACTCATACCATTTAACTTTCAAATGGAAAGAGCGTAAGACTTTTTAGGATGACATGCTCATATGTAGCAGCATTGTCTTTAAAAAGTTGTTTAAGAACTAACTGGCTTTGCCATCTGCTACCTTTCACTATCTGTATAAATGATTTTCTGTGTTCCTCATTGCAGTGCCTCGTATTATAGACTGTGGTTTCTGCCTTGTTGGAGGAATAAAAGCAATAATGTTTGCATGCAAAAATGAGGGATTTAGCACTGGGAAGTTCTGCATAATGCCACAGGAAGCCTGGCCACCTCCTAATTTCAGGGTGAGTGATGAGAAGGAAAATCAAAGAATCATAGAATTGCTCAGGTTGGAAAAGACCTTAAAGATCATCAAGTCTAACCACAACCTAAGCATACTACTGTAACTCTAACAACCCTCTGCTAAATCATGTCCCTGAGCACCATATCCAAACAGTTTTTCAACACATGCATGGATGGTGACTCAACCACCTCCCTGGGGAGCCTATTCCTCAACAACCCCTTCTGTAAAGAAGTTTTTCCCTGATGTCCAACCTAAATCTCCCGTGGCGCAACTTGAGGCCATTGTCCCTGGACATGGTATGGCATTGGTGCCCTGCTGTGAAGGCTTTTGAGATAATGATGGTATACTAGCACCAAAGACTTGAGGCCTTGCTGGATACATCTGTAATGTCGCATTCCTTCAGGGATTCACATTTATTCTCCAGCCTAGTCTCCCTGTCTGTCCTCCTGCTTGCGCTCTGACTCACGTCTGGGAGGAGTGGTCAGTTTGTTACTCATAAAGGGAACAGAAATGCAGTCAGTTCTAGCATTGCTTGAGCTGTTTCCCTGCCCATCAAAAATATCACTTACTGACCTGGCTGCACCTCCAGGCCCTAGCAGTCCTCTCCAGTACTGGTTTTTGTTTAGCTTGCCATCACAAAGCAGCGTCTAATGGTGTGGACAAAGATAAAATGTGACCGGTGAATTGGCTTTTCATGTGTTGGAAGTAAATGCTGTTGGAATACCTGATGTGCCAGGCTATCCCTCCTGAAATACTGCAGATCCAGCTCACAGTCATATGCACACAGAAACAGATACAGCTCCTGTGCTCAGGTATAATTGTTCCATAGAATGGCTTAGGGTGGAAGGGATCTTAAAGATCATCAAGCTCCACTCTCCAAAGCTATAGGTTTCTTCTGTGATGAAGTGTGTTAGAGCTCCTGACGTGAACATTTGTCTCTGGAGACAGCACCTTTCTTCCTTTTGCTTTCATCAAGGTAATTAGAAAACATGGAGTGTTTATTCTAGCTAAGTCCTATACTTAAGCCACATACTTTAGAGATGTGTGAAATGGGAAGGGGTAGAACAGTGATGTATACCTCCTATTTTAGGTAACCCTTTATTGTGAATACAACAAGCTGATTTAATTTTATCTTTTTTCTTATTTTTCTCCCCCTGAAACTCTTAGGCTGTTGCCACTCTTGGTTCTGTGATACAGGATCCATTTGGGATCTATCCTGCTGTTTTTGAGCTAGCTCCAGGTCAGAGTACAATAGTGAAGGTTAGTATATACTGCGATGGAAAGTATTTGTACTTTATAATATGTTAGGAAAACAGCATAATTTTATGAGGTCTGGACCCTGCAAATTTGAGTTTGTACGAACAAAAAGTGTTTAAGACCTTTTGTGGAATTCTTCTGGAAGAATTGCAGCTGTGAGCCCTACAGAAGGGTCTTTCATGATAGCTTCTAAGTCTTACCTATGCAGAGATCAGCCAGGTTTTCCCCATCCAAAGAATCCCGTTAGAGAAAACAGGTATCAAAGAACACAGGAGTCCTTATTTTACTCCAGCTGGAACATTAAGTTGAAGAAACTTTTCCTTTTGAGAGTTTTCTTGGAAAGATATTTTGGAAAATAAATTATTTCAGCATAGCAGCAGGTACAAGTCTTTCATTTCTGCTCTGCTGTTTACTGAAAAAGATCCTGCAGCAGTTGTGCAGGCTGCCACATCTGCTTTCACCAACAGCCACGTTTCATCATTGCATCACTGTAGGGAGAGGATGAATGGTACAGGGAGCACAGCCAGCCTCCAGCCCTGCCTTTCTCCAGTCCTAGCTGCTGCTAAAAGCATTGTGTCATGCAGGTGTGGGTAAAGGAGATGAGCTATTTCCTCTTCTCACTTCCCAGCTGCATTGCTTCAGGAGGGCCACACATGTGGAAGAGGAGGTGGATTTAACACAACAGACTTGTAGGCAGTAATGGATAACAGAAGAAGACATGGCACGTGGTACCAGAGCCAAAGGTTGTGTAGTTTGGGACCTGAATCTTTTTTCTTAAGTGAATCTCAGGAAGAGCACACAGCAGCTGGCCCTGCTCACACTGCTGGAGCTTTACAGGCAGCATTGGCTTTGCTCAAGGAGGAAGAACTAATTGTGAGGGTGCAGTTTGTATGACTAATGTAATAAACTGCCTCCAACTACAGGGACTATGAAGGCAGCCTGTGGTGACCGACCAGATACACATATGTAGGTGTAGTTGCCCAGAAGGCAACTATTTCTTTTGGGCCTGTGTTAAGGGAACTTGGCTCTGTCTGCTTCTTGTAAATGTAGGATTATTTATTATTATTGCAAATGTAGGATTATGAAGTCATTAATCACAAGGACTGTCTGTTACTGAGCACTTATAAATTTAAGTTTATGACTTCCCGGAGAAAAGTCAGATATGGACGTCACTATTGCCCTTTTCTCTTTCAGGTAGTGTTTTTCCCTTCTTTGCCAGAAGTCTCACAACGAACATACACCATTGTTTGTGACAACTGCCAGGTCAATAATATTACAGTCACAGGTTTGTTCCTAATGTCCTTCTAACACTGCAGATCCTCATAATGTGAGTGGTGATCAATGGACATATGGGTGTGAAGCAAATTTGGGGCATATCTTGGGTTAAGGAGAGATGGACAGTCTTTGGTTGACAAATGAAACCAGTTTAAATTATTGCAAATGGTGAGTGCTTGTCCTCTGATGTACTTGTGAGTACTGTGACGTTAGGCTTAACTTCAGATCCATACAATCACCACAGGTATTTCATTCAGTAAACTTTAATAATGCTTTTGCTGCTTATTCTTGTTATACTGGGAGCCACATGATCAACCATTACAAATGCTGTGCTGTCTTCAATGAAACAATGCTGATGTAAATGAGCTGTGGCCATGAAATCCCAATCTGTTAAGATCATAAAGTGAGGACCTCAACTGGTAGATGGCAATAATCAAAACAACTCCAGGAAAACACTGTACTGAGCTCTGAAAGTTGAGGAAACACCATACACAATCAGGATATAACCAGTAATGGCCACTGCTGACATTTGGTGTTCATGAGTAACATAGCAAAGTTAGTAGCCGGATGGTAAACAATAATACCTATTTATTTCTTCAAGGGGTTGGACAGCTGATAGCTCTGGAGCTTCTGCATGTTACAGGCGGAGAAAGCAGCCCTGAACCTGGTGAAGTCACTGATGTAACAGCTCAGCACCTCATACGATTTGACCCCCAGAACCCACACACCACCACACAGAAGAACTTGGTTATAAGAAACTCTACGTATGTAACCACTACTAATAGCATAATGTTCTGCAGTTGGAACGTACTGGTAGGGATCTCATTTGTGATGCCATACTCTCTCAGACTGCAGAAGTCTTCATGTGCTTGTTGAACTTCGTGTGGAAGCTTTTTGCTTTGTTGTCTAGTAATTAAGGTTCAAGGATATGGTTCTAAGACAAGGATGATTGCAGAAGTATTTAAGAGGGTCGTCTAGGTTTTACCCCATCTAACTTTGCGTGCCTACAATGTGTATTTGTACAGTGGAATGAAGCACTCTGTCCCTAGAGGTGTTCAAGGCCAGGTTGGATGGAGCCCTGGGCAGCCTGGTCTGGTATTAAATGGGGAGGTTGGTGGCCCTGCCTGTGGCAGGGGGGTTGTAGATTCCTGATCCTTGAGGTCCCTTCCAACCCTGGCCATTCTGTGATACACGCCTGTCTAGCTAAGCAGCTATATACCTGTCCTTTCATAGAGCAGGGGAACAGGATGCAAATCTGGACTGAATGTAGGCACCTCCCATAGAATGAGACAGTGCATCCTGGACTGCACCAGATCTCCTGTTTAATAAAGGAACCCAGTGTGATTAGCTCAGGTTAAAATTTTCATGATCCCAACTGTTGTCTCCTAATAGATGTAAATATAAGCTCTATTTGAAGTCAAAGAATATGTCCCTCTGTAATTACATTGTACTGAGCATGGTAGAATACTGACCGTTCTAACAATAATAATGCTCTAATTTGAATGATTCTGATAACAAGAAGCTGCAAGCCAAAAGGGCAGTGAGAAGTTCAGTGCTATTTCTAGATACACTCGTGTAAATCACTACTTGCTACAGTACATTTCTGGGATTTTACCTGGCCTGGAAGCCAAACTGCATAATGCCAGAACACTGCTGTTTGGGCATAAGTATGACTTGGTGAACTAGATGCTGTATCTAAAGAAGGACGTGACTCTGTCAATTTCCATCTCCTAAAGAATTTTCTCTGCTTTAGGATCATGACAGCATGACAGCATTTGCCATGGTGTTAGATTTGTGTTAAACAAAGCTGGACAGTCTCAGACTGAATTCAGTAAAGAGAAAACTTAATGATGCTATAGAAAGTGATACAAGGAGTTGTTCAGTTTTTTGTCATTTTCATTTTGAAACTCCGCTGTCCTTTCTCCACTTTCTAAGGCTAAGTTCTTGAGGTCAAAATGAACGAGGTTTTAAAACTATGAACTCATCCCATGGGATATACTTCTGCTGAAACAACCCAGTTAAGCAACACTTTCTGGATTACTGCTGTAATCTTTGCTGGAGCCCCAGTTTGTTGACACGTTAAAAACCAGACCTTGTGTTTGGATTAAATTCAGAGTGTTATGTAGATCATTAGCAGTGATCCAATGCAAACATACTGATATCAGAAGGAATGGTCCTGTTGATTTCAAATTCTTGAAAAAAGAGTTTTAGTGTTCCTTAAAAGTTGTATTACTTGATGAATTGCATAAATCATAGAATCATAGAATCATCACAGAATGGCCAGGGTTGGAAGGGACTTCAAGGATCATGAATGTCCACCCCCTGCCACACGCAGGGCCACCAACCTCCACATTTAATACCAGGCTGCCCAGGGCCCCATCCAACCTGACGTTGAACACCTCCAGGGATGGATGGGGCATCCACAGCCTCTCCAGGCACTCTCTCTGTGAAGAACTTCCCCTTCACATCTAATCTAAACCTTCCTTCCTTCAGCTTGAAATAAGAAAGCATAAAAATCTCTTGCAAAAATATACGTGCATAACTTCCTTCAATATATTAGCATGTTCTCCTGTGGAATTTAGGTACTCTTCCTGTGCTGTCTTGTCAGCTTGGTAGCTCACAAGGACTGGTAACTGTAATCCCCTGCAATTCTAAAGAGAGGAATTATCTACATGATAAAAAATAAAAAAAAGTAACTAAAAGTTTTCTGCCAAAATTCTCTCAGCATCTAATTTTTTCTTTAATGATAGCTTTATTCTCTTGTTTGTCCATCTCTTTGTAGCCACGTAGAACTTCCTTTTTACTGGCAGATAATAAAGCCCAACCTGCACCCAGTATTGCCAGGAGAAACTGCACACTCCGTGACACTTGAGTACAGCCGAGAGACGGAGCTGGCTTTCTCCCTGAGTCCTGAGCAGGGAGTTCTGCTTCCCCACGCTGATCATGACTTTACCCTCACTTACACTCCACAGGAGGTATGGTTTGTGATTCCTTCCTATCTACAAACTCCAGCTGTGTGTTTTTATGCAAGTCATAAAACCCTTGCTGTGCAGCTTTGTGAATTAAATGCAATTAGCTGGTACTATGCTCTAATAAACAGTATTCAGAACTAAAAGAAAACATATTTTGACTGCTAAGTATGAGGCAGCTTCTGATCTCATGTGATTTTTGGTACTGATTGGACAGCATTAACTTTAGATGAGACTGTGGACACATCCTCTTAGCTGCAGCTGTGCTGGCTGGTAAAGCTGCCATTGGTAGCACTGCCATCCCCTGACCTGATACTTTGGGTCTGCTTTGGGGATCTGCCCTCAACCTACTGCAGCCCAAACTGACTTGGGTAGCAAACTGGTGATCTCAACTCATTCCAGCCACAGGAATTTGGGCTGAGAAGGGTCCAGAGAACAGCTCTGTGGTGAAGTTCTAGCAGTAGCCTTTGTCAGAGGAGTGATGATATGCAGGTAGAGGGTGCAGTGATGTTCGAGTGCAGCTGAACTGATGGATGTCTGTCTTCACGTCTGTTCTCTCATCCTCGTAAATGAGGAGTATGAGCTCACTGCATTTAAAGAAACATGAGCCAAACTAAACCCATGAGTACAAATATCCCATGTTGTGATGATGGACAGACATAGGAATGCCTCAAGTAAGTGTGGAAGAGAAATTAGCTTGTAAGAAAACACTTGAGTGAGTCAATATGAAAATATATTAATGATATTTTCAAGATTTTAGTTTATTAACACAAATATTTGATGTTTACATCTACACTTAGATAAATATCTCTTGGTAAACAAACAAATCCCCTGCAAAGCCCTTCAGATTTAAGGCCTGCCTCTGTGGTTGTGTTTCATTTTGAATACAGGAGGTTTCTTCTTTATCCCATATGGCAAAAACAGTTTTTTTAGTTCAAAATTAAATTGACGGCCAAGTAAGTTGAATGTCCTAAAGTGGCTAAAGCAAATTCTGTTAGCACAGCAATACTAATCTTCATTTGCAGAGTATTTACAGATGTTTGTGTGTAGTATGCAATATACCAGGGAGATAATAACTAGCATGTCAAAAATGAATGTTTTTCTTGGAACCATACGCTATGAGATCAGAATCTTGGCTGAATGTTTTGCAGTCAAACGTGTTTTCTTTTAGTATTTCTAGATTTTGAATATAGTTTATCAGAGTTTAGGATCTCAGCGATGATTGTTCATTATTTAAATGTAAACTCAGTTTTCATCTCAGTTTTTTGAATTCTCAACGTAGCCAATGACTTGAGAGTAACATCCCCTCTTTACCTGTACAGCTGAAGATTTACCACAGTGTGATACAGCTGGTTCTGAGGGACATCCCAGAATCACCTGGGTAAGCTGAGAGTCAGTGCTTTCCAGCCACATTTTAGCTATGCTATTGCATTACACCACTGGGGTTCTCTATTTTTCTACTTACGGTGGACTGGCAGTTATAAAGGATTTTGTAGGCACAGCCAACAGTGGCACAAATAGCTCATCTCAGCCTGTCCTCGTGTCTGAACACGTGCCTTAGCCCTAGCTGAGGCTGCCCCTCTCTTGGAAAGATACTGTCATTTGTCTGTTTGTTTCCTATGCTTTGTGCTGAGCTTTCCATCACCTTTTGTTATTGCTGTTTGTCACAGCAGTCTATGACTTACATATTTAATCCATGAATGTTCTGGACAGAGTATGTTAAAAGACTACTGGAAGTCTTCCTATTGATTACTGCTCCAACCTGGGTTTACTGCACTCCAGCAGTGTGTAGTGGAGAAGCTTTTGCTAATTTGCACTTCTGATCTGGCAATTAAAAGATGGAGCCAAGTTGAACAGTTAATAATTCTGCCACATTTCCTTCTGAAGTTTTGTAAAGGAGAGAATGCTCCAAAACATCCCAGAATACCTAGCAGAGGATGTAATAGTGCTGGATATAGAAGTGAAAGGATCCACGGAGCCATTTCAGCTTCTTCTGGAACCATACGCCATTATCATCCCCGGAGAAAGCTTTCTTGGTGTAAATGTCAGAAGGACATTTAAGGTTTGTTTGCTCTTTACTTCATTTATATCAGTTGCTTTGTGACTCTGGCTGCCATAGGTGCTGTTAGAAGACATCAGATGATCCGTGTGATTTTAATTTTTCTTAAATATTTCTAAAGGAGGCCATGCTGAAATGCCCTCGCAGGCCTCCTCAGCCCTGTGCTCAAGCAGAAGGCTTTGCTCTGTTTTCATCTCTGAGGTTTGATATTGCAGAGTATTACGCTTGTAAATGCTTTTCTGGGTCACAAACCAGTGCTGATCCATCTGCCAGCGCTGCAGTGCAGGATTTTTCCAGCTGGGAGGAATTAACCCATGGATGATTAAATTACTTTGTAACAGAGACACTGTTTGTTTAAAGGACTACAGCAGGAAAGCTACAGAAATCCCTTCTGCTGAAGCTTCTTAGACCTATTTCTGTGGCTGCAGATTCTGTTGATTTCTGCTTGAATATTATGGGATAAGATTCTGCTGCAATCCATTCACTCAGTGTTCATTTCACTATAGGCTAGGATCATTTTGATTCTAGTTATAGCTGGGAAAAATAGGTCTATTAGCAATAGCCAGGCAAGAAGACACTTCCTAGTTAATGATCTTCATATTTTTTCTTAGAGAGGTTCAAATGCAATGATTTTCTGGGGAAGGAAAGGAAACCTGGGTTCAGATTTCCTAAAATACCAAATCCCAGTGCAAAGGTAGCCACTGAATTCATCTGGTTAAATATGGTGCCTTGGGCATAGATCTCCACCTCCGAGCTACCTGCTGTAACTTTCCTTATAGTGCTTGGCCATCCAAGGGGTGTCTCCTAACATCTCCCAGGCTAAAATAATGTGGAGGTATTGCTGCTAGCACTGTCTAATTGGCAATACTGACTACAAAGAGAGCCCTAGAAGATGAGATCAGACAGGCAGCTCCCAGCCACTTTGAAGACATCTGAAATCCAGTCAGGCGAATTCTACTTCTTGACTTGGTTTTACATGACAGAGGGAAGGTGACAGGATGTGGTGAAAATAGAGCACAGCACTGGATTGGTAGTGTTCAAGTCAGAGGTTAGGGGTTCCATGCCTTTCCACTCTGTGTTTGTTCAGTTTGTGTCAAGATTCAGGAGAAGATACAGTATGCTAGAGCTGGATTCAAACTATTTTAGAAGGCACTAACATTTAGAGAGGAGCAGGCTGCAGGGAGACCTCATTGTGGCCTTCCAATACTTGAAGAGAGCATATGAACAGGAGGGGGAATGGCTGTTTATGAGGGTGGATAGTGATAGGATGAGGGGGAATGGTTTTAAACTGAGATAGGGGAGGTTTAGGTTGGATATTAGGAGGAAGTTTTTCACTCAGAGGGTGGTGAGGCACTGGAACAGGTTGCCCAAGGAGGCTGTGGATGCCCCATCCCTGCAGGCATTCAAGGCCAGGCTGGATGTGGCTCTGGGCAGCCTGGTCTGCTGGCTGGTGCCCCTGCACATAGCAGGGGGTTGGAGCTGGATGAGCATTGAGGTCCTTTACAACCCAGGCCATTCTATGATCCTGCAATTCTATGATTCTATGATTTACTGGGGATCAGGACATCATTAAAGTTTGCAATAAAGTTTGTAAGTATGTGATGTGTGACTTGCAATACCTAGTTTGCAGTGCATCACTGCTCTCAGCATATGGACTTGTTGCTGTGCAAGCTTCTGGTATGTTAATTAACTTTAATTTTAATTGTTTCAGATGTGGAATAACAGCAAGTCATTGATCAGGTATACATGGGAGAACATCACAGACTGTGCCATTATGGAAGTTGAACCTCTTACTGGTGTCATAGGTAAAGTTTCTGTGACTTACGAGTATCAGTTAATGATAGAAATATTTAAATTGGTACAAGTGAATGAGAAAAGCTGTAGAACTTTATATTGCAAAGTGTCAGACAGGGCTGATCCGCAGCCTGCTGGACCCAACAGGAGGCTTCATTTGGTTCCAAGAGCTTCAGTTCCAGCCTTACAGCAGCTTATTTCTGTTCAAGAAAGAGAGACTTTGATTCTATATTTTTTTCTTTTCTAGATATGAATAAATGCTGTGAATTTGAACTGATGATTACTGGAATCAGACCTGGGTGTGTCAGCCATAACCTGCGGTGTCAAATTGAACATTCTGCAGAGCCAGTTGTGCTGCACATTGAGGCTGCTTTTAAGGTAAGAGCCAGCCTGGTGTTGCAGGGCCAGGCTGTTGGCTCTCTAAAGCTTTTTGCTACTTGAATGCCTGACAGATCTAGGGCAGTTACAAATACAAAGCATTTTTTGCTGTCTAGTAACAATTGTGTAAATGCTGATATTCCCACAACAGTAAGATGTTTCTCTATTACACAGAAGGCATTTGCTTTCTGCTTTTCTCTGTGAAGTAGAACAATAATCTTAGCCTAGTGTATGCTTTTTAATTAAGGAGTTCTGGCAGAAAAGTCCATTTTGCCATCTGTTTTCTGGTGTTCTAGGGTCCTCGTCTTCATATTGCTGTTCCCTCACTCCGCTTAGGTTTGATTAAGCCAGGTGAGAGTGTGGTAGGAACCTTGGAGATTCAAAATCTGTGCCAGCTGCCAGCACGGTGGAGAATGCAAGAAAGCCAGGTTTGTCTAGCTGAAAGGAATGAAGAGGTAAGTAACTGCTGCAGCTTGCCATGCTTTTTCTTCAGCTATTACTTCCTCAGGCTTAGCAGCTGTGCTGTTCATTCCAGATACGAAAAGTTTTGATTTCTGCAGTTCATTATGCAGCTGGTTCTGCAGTTACTTAAGGCCAGTTTGGATGGAGCTGTGAGCAACCTGATCTAGAGGGAGATGGCCCTGTCTACAGCAGGGTGTTGGAACTGCATGATCTTAAAGGTTCCTTCCAACCCAAACCAATCTATGATTCTACGAAGTGCACAAGTTTTTTTAGAAAATAAATGTATATGAGTTTTTTTTTTTAAAACATTTGTTAATTTCAGCATGATTGAAAGAGCCATGGAGTATTTCCTCTATGTCAGGGATTTGGGCTACTGCTAATGTATGTAAGGGAGTAAGACCTTCTCATTCTGAGGCTGCTCAGCACTCTTCCCACACCACTGACATCAAAAGGAAGTGAGGATATCTGGACTTTAGGATGAGTGCTTTCTCTAGTAATAAAACCCAAACTATGCTTGCTTGTACTCTTTACATCATTCATTCAGGGATTCATCATGACCATTCAGGGAATTGTTTGCTTTTACTGTGGCAAAAATGGTATAAACAGTGCTTGGATATTTTGTTTTCCTGGACAGCTTGTGTCAGTTCTGCACTGAAAGAGGAGTTTTCTGGTGGTTATCTCAGGAGATGGAAGGCTGTGTGAGGCTGCTCTCTAATTTTATGACTCCTTCACCTTTGGATTATTTATTTTTTTTTCTTACACATGATGCAGATGTGTCACCAACTCTGGTTGAAATTTGATGGAAAAAGAGAAGGATTTATGAGGGGTGGCTATGGCAGCCTTGCAAAACAGCTGTGTGTGTGCTTGTCTACCCCTATTTACCAAAACAACTATAATCAGAAGTGCCTGAATCAGGATATGCTCCTCACAGTCCTCAAACCCTTCTTTCTCACATTTGTTATTCCTTTGTTTCCTGCATTCTCAACACTTCCTAGGACCTCAGAGATTGTAGAGACTTAATCTGTTGAATTTATCACCCCAGAGCCCATTTGTATTGCAGTGGAGATGACAGATCAATTTCTTGCTTCCTGCATAAAAGCTGCCACTTTCCTTTTCCTTAATCTCTCCAGCCCCTGTCCCACACTGGTGCTTTTTCAACTTATTTCTGGTCTTCCAACCTTCCTTTTTTGACTCTCTGTCCAAGAATCTCCCCTTGGCATCTTGCATAGCTGCTGTTCAACCTCTTTGGAAGTAGCCACTGCTACTAGTGCTGACTGCTTTGCAGCCCCCCTCGCCACACGCACAGGCATCTCTTTTAAGCCTTTGGCTTTGACAGCCCTTCTCTGAACTCATGGCTGTTTCACTAGCTGTCCCCACAGATGCCAAGTTCCTTCTCCTTGTTTAGCCAGGTTTTCACAAAGCTATCACTGCAGGTAGTAAAATCTACCCAGATGGGACTCCAGGGGCAGAAAAACATGACACGTGTGAGGAGAAATTGGACACACATGAATCTCAATGGGAGCGTATAGGTACAGCATTTTACACTTCCTTAATGGGCATCAAAAGCATTTCTATTCCCTCTCTTCTCTCCCAGGTGTCTCCCTTTACCATTCAGCCATCTGCTGAAGAATTGCCTCCTTTGGGCACATGCAGTGTGTCTGTTCAGTACACATCATTGCTGTGCCAGCGTCTCCATACAGTCTTAGAACTAGAAGTAGAAGATGGAGAAAAGAGGTAAGGGGAAAAAGCCACATTGTGCTTTATTTTTTCCTGACATTCACGTGTGATTTTCAGTATGGGTAGGTTTGTCTCCTAAAACAAAAATACATAGCAAAAACTCAGAATGGGCTCGTGTAGCCTATCAAAGAGCTAGCTAATCACTAATATTGCTAAGTAAACATCATCAGCATTCTTTCCAGCGTGCTGTTGTATGTCTAGCACATCTCATTAACGATAACAATAGGCCATCTGTGTGTTTACTTCCAGTTACCTTCCTGTTTCTGTTGAAGTTCAGACCCCCCAGGCATGCCTGTTATCTAGTCATCTAGTGCTCACTGAAATGTATACTGGAATTCCTGTCAAAGCAACAAGCAAACTTTTCAACCAGACACAGCTGCCAGCAAAATACTCATGGGGAAATGTAAGTGCGTTTCTAATGGATGAAGAATAAAGCAGGGCTGGAATTTGCATCAGAATACAAATAATAATTGAAAGCTTTTCTGATGTGTCCTTTGGCTAGTGATTCCTGTCTTCTGGCTTGTGAGCAGGACTTTGGCTTGAGACCAGACTTTATGAAGAGATTATCTACCCGTTGATGTTAATGTGTAGTTACTGACTATTGATCACTCCTTGGAGGGCGGTGTGGGCAAAGTGGGAGAGGAAAACAGGATGAAAGCTGCACTAAACAAAGTATCGTAGATATTCAGGTTTCTACATTTAGTTCAGTAGAACAAAGCAGCAGCATTGCTTTTGAATTGTGCCTAAACTTGAATTCTATATTCCAGGTGGGTTTGAGCTCACAGATTAGGACTCCTAAATTTAATGTCAGTAGGTGGGCTATTGTCTGAACTTTCTTTTCAGTGATAGAAAGTCTGGGCAGGAGGTCAGTTACTAGAATATAGCTGTTTAGTGTCGCTCTGAGTGCTGCAGAATGTTCTTTGTGACCTCCATTTCACTTAGGAAATGTGGTCTCTTGTAAGTCCTGCTATGCTGGACTGCTCTATGGACCTGTGTTTAGGCAACTGAATCCTAATGTGTTCATATTGTCAGTGGAACCCAGAGAACTATTCAGCTCACTCTGAAATTGACACCTGCTTTAGTATGCAGAATGACCTCTAGAATGTACTGAATGTTGGCTATAGTGGTAGTTTTGACACCCACTACATAGATGCTTAACCTGTAAGCCCTATTATCAGCGCCTTGGTCATTCAGATCCACTCTGACATTTGAGACTTAGCTCAGTAGCCTATGTAAAAGCATTCGGTGCCATCTGAGATGTCCTCACATGCCTGAGGAACTCTACCAGTGCATGCAGATGGTGCAGGACCCACAGGAAAACCCTTTGGAGTAGCTGGAGCCTGGAAGGATACCCAGGCACTGTGCACAGCACCTGGTGTTTGTGTTTGAGCAACTGAGGTGAACCTCTGAGTTCATGTCAGTCAGTCGCACAGGCAAAATTGTCTCTATAGGCCTTCTCTGTAGTTAGCTGGAGAGACCTGAGGCACCTTGAGGAGTTTGTTACAATATCAGGTAAGCTGACCTGGGAAGGCTTGTGACTGGGAAAGGGCCTACAGCAACTCTGCCCCCAGTACAGTTTGCTCAGATGAGCACCTGAAGTCACTTGAAATGATTCTAGGTAAGAGAATCTTAGCAGCCATAGAAGAATTGCAAAGCAAGCCTCATCTCAGCAAGCTCTGTGTATTGCTAAGGAAAAGTGTTCTGAACCTTAGAATAACTGTTTTTATAGCATCTGTAACATCAGAAGAGGAAAATCTGAAAGACTCAAGAGTTACTGAAACAACAGATTAACTGTTTGTCCCATCTGCTCGGCAGCTCATTGGAACTCAGGCAGCTTTCTGCTCTGCCACCATCACTCCAGCCAGTGGCATTTTAACCCCAAATGAAGAAAAAGAATTCTGCATAGAGCTGACAGCTAACATCACAGTAAGTTTGAAAACTGGTGCTTATCAAAAGAGTGGTGCTGTCATCCTCACCTCAACTCCATCTGACAAGGGAAACGTTTTCCATATACTCAATATGATGCTCTTTTTTGCATACAATATATCTGAAATTCCTTTGCTGTAGAGGTAACTATGCTTAGAGCTTCAAAATTTCCAATACAGGAAGCATGTCAGAAATCACTAATGGAGCAGTGTTAGGCTTACAGACTGATATGGATGTAAAGAGATGAAACAGCCATAAAATGGTACCTTGTTTCTTCCTTCTTAGCAAATCTGTTTGCAGGTAGTACTTTAAAGCAATTCAGTAACACTTTGCAGTATTCTATTGTAGATCTGTTCCAGTGAGGTTTAAATGCATTCCCTAATTGGATTTCTTAATGAAGCTGCCTGTCCTCTGTGATCTCTACTCCATTCACAAGCAAATTTGATTCTTCTCCTATCAGGGTGAGCTGAAAGGCCTTGCCCTTTCCTGTAGCATAGAAGACATGACTGAACCCCTCCTTCTGAGCATTTCTGGAGAAGTAAAAGGATTGCATGTCACCTACTCAGTACCCTGTGAAGGTGGAGATGCCAGGTAAATCAAGGCATTATTAAAATCATGGAAGATGAACCATTCTGTGATTCTATTTCTTTTTGTGGAACAATTCTAATAGATACAAAAAGCTAGTCTATTTGTATATTTGTATATACTCTAGTCTATTTCTAGAATACTCAAGTATACCAAAGTGTGTGATGGCATTAAAAACATCTATAGAATGTCATGAGAAGTGCAAAGCTTGATACATTTACCTCTGCAGTTTTACTGTAGCCAGATATAATGTAGTTCAGCTTATACCACCAAAAACAACAGTCATTAAGAGTAGATTGTAGATGTTAAATTCTATAATTTACATACCTCTTGGCAGGGTGCTGTCTTCTCAGAAACTGGATGACATCTCCATAGCACCAAGCCTTAAGGCAGGTCACAGTGACACAGACAAACTCAATTTCCAAATGAAACGTTCCAGCTTGCAAGTGCAGTACGTGGTTTTGCAGTCCCACTCTATAAGACTTAACATCTTTTTATATCTTGGGCTTCCAGATTAACTGGAAAAAAAAAACCAGATAGAACTGCAGAATGGCCCAGACTGGGAGGCACCTCAAGGATCATAAAGCTTCAACCCTCCCACCACAGGCAGGGCTACCAACTTCCACATTCAATATCAGACCAGGCTGCCCAGGACGCCATCCAACCTGGCCTTGAACAATGAGCTGAAACAAATTAAATAACAACTTTGAATGAATGGATGAATAGTGAATTGGTGTGAAATGAACCGCATGCAAGTAAAAGTCACGGTCGTGTTTTGGCTGGTCTCACTTGTGCTCCTGGATCTTGCAGTCTTCCTGTTGTCCTGACTCTTTTGCTGTGTGAAGAGCAGGAAAACTACCTTTGTCACTACTAACCAAAGCATGGGGGCCTGCAGCTCATAATATGTGAGGAACAACTGTGTTCTGTGATGCCAAAAACGTGCACGTTCAGTTCCTACTGAATTACCAAGATCCAGTATGTTGGGCCATTCCATTTTCTTCCTGCACCATTAAACACAGTATCAAAGAAAGGACAGTAGACCTCTCTTTGACTTCGTATATCTGAGTAATTTATTTTTTATATGTTGCATGATTACTCTCTTTTGGAATATGCTCATCTTTATAGGTTTTAATATAAGTAAAAATGGCTTTAATTTGGTAGATTTACACATCATACACAATCAACTTTCTACCCTGAATAAATCCTTACAAGGTTAGAAGTGGAAAAAATGTAAAGCAGTAAGTGCTGATGACAAAAGCTCAACTGCTTGGTCTTTTTACACTGGTTTTTACAACCACGTTGTAGATTGTACATTTTAAATCTCTTGAAGTCATCTGTGGCATAAGAAAACTGGGCTGATGCTGTAATACTTACCTTTTTTTTCTGACAGTGATAAAAGAAAAGTGTTACAAAGCCCACGTGACCTTCTTTTGGACTTTGGATCTGAAGTTGCATTGAAAGACACAGTGAAACGTCAGCTGATCCTTACCAATCACACTGCAATCAGTGCACTGTTCAGACTAGAAGCTGTGTATTTTACTGGCTCTTCACCTACTCCAGAGCAATCTATCTCCCTGTAAGTCTTGCCTTTCTGCCCAGTGCCTCAAATACTAATGGAGATCTTTATTAAAACTGAAATCAGGACAGCGTGCTGTTTCCTCTGCCACAAGATGCACTTTCTGCAATGTTATGGCATTTGGGTTTTTTTGGTTCTTGTTTTTAAGCTCTTTGATTGTGGTGATGAAATTTGCGGAAAAGATTTCCTGCAGAAACTGATAGCTTGGAAAGCAAACACAGAAGTTGGAGAAACGTTTAGATGTGGTACTGAGGGACGTGGTTTAGTGGGAACTATTGCTGATAGATGGACAGTTGGACTGGATCGTCTTGGAGACCTTTTCCAATCTTGGTGATTCTCTCACTTAGGCAGTGCAAGTGGCAGAACTCCACTGTTGTCACTACTGTTGTGGATATAGGCTGGTTTACACCTGCCAAGGCTCTGTTGTGTTGGGTTGTACACAGATCCTTGCAGCTCTGCAGTTAATTCACTCTTAAGGATGTTGCTTTCCAAAAATACTGAGTAGGTAGTCTTTCTTTAAGCTCTAATGGCCACTAATGTAGGAGTCAGCTAGAGATGTTATGTTAACAGAGACATGCTCATTTCGCAGAAGCGTTACGATGTTTTGATGTTTTTCTTTTCAAGCTCATCAGGCTACCTGGTGAAAAGGAGAGGGCCCACCACGAAACATGCAGCCAAAAGAGCACAGTCAGGTACAAGGATAATCCCCGCCCCGTGGAGAGAAGGCAAAAATCAACTGACTTCCATGTGCAGCACTGAAAGTGCCAGTCAGGAACATGATTTTGTTGTTGGAATACTTGGCTACATCGACACCATTAAATAATGTAGCTCCTCACTTCATTCTTGAGTGCAAAACTCCACATTGCATAAGCATTAGGTCACTCTTCTTTCTTTTTTTCACCCCAAAAGATGGGTGGTTCTGCTCGTAGTTCATTCCCAGCACAGAGTATGGATGTGTAACATTTGGCTGTTTCATTCCTGGTCAGTCTTCTCATACCATTGTAACAGGCTTTCTTCCTTCAAACCTCTTAACATATTATTTCCCCAGTGTAGAAAAACTATCCCCCAGCACATCCATCATTTCTGATGCTTTGTAGTGAAAGCAATGATACTGAGAGCCACAAGGGACCCAGGGAAGGGGGGGAAGTGAGAACAAAATGCCATGAAATGTGGATGTGTCTTGTGTATCCAAAATAAAACTTGGATACATTGGTAGCTTGCCATAGTGTTTAGCATCTGTTAGAAAAACAAAGCTTTTCAGCTGTTGAATTAGTCCTTAAGGTTGGGAAAATGCTGTTCTGACAGATTCCATGGAAGCCTATTGATTTGGAAGGCAGGATAATTCAGAATGTGGAAAGCCTCTCTGCTCTTTATAATTCACATTCTTTGTCCTGAACAGCACACAGATGTAAACGGGCAGCTGCCAATAGAATGATAACCAGTTAGGAGAAATTCCAGCTTATTTTTCTAAAGTTGAGGGTGTGTTTTCATTTAACCAATCACTGCCTTGCACATCTCAAAGTGTCCTGGGTCAGGTTGTCTGAAGGCGGTCCATCTATGAAATAATCTCTGCGAGAACTGACTCATAAAAACAAAAGGAAAAAAAAAACCCAAGAGATTAAAACCCACTGCAAAAGGGAACTGAAGTGTTATAAACATGGGCTGTGTAAATGATCCCAGTTTTTCTGAAGCCATTGAAGTTATCCTGATTGACACTAGCTAATAATCTGCTCCTGTGTTTTCTCTGAAGGACTAACGTTGTTCCATTTCCTCAGAGCTTATCAAATGCTTCTTTGCTGTGCTCCTTTTAGAGTTTGCAGCAGCGATGCTGTCTCATGGGAAGGGAGTAGCTTTCCATATACAACCTTCCTCAGGAACTCTGCAAGCCTTCCAGCGGCTAATCATAGAAATAACAGCCTACAACAACATGTGGGGAGAGTACAGTGATGATCTTGTCTGTAAGGTAGGTGGGGCTTGGTTTCAAGTGAAATACCGCTATGGCAGATTTGACACCAATTGTATTTCAGATTCCTTTCCGTGAAAAGCACATTTTCCATTGAGTATTTAGAATTTCTGTAAGAATTCAGGGCAGATGCTGCCAGCTCCGACAGCATGCAAGGAGGAACAGCTTGCTGTTGCAGTGCTTGGTTTGGTTTTGGGGTAACATGTCTATCCTTGGGAGTTTTCCATAGAACCATAAAATGGCCTGGGTTTAAAAGGTCCACAATGCTCATCCAGTTTCAACACCTCTGCCTTGGGCAGCATCACCAACCAGCAGCCCAGGCTGCCCAGAGCCACATCCAGCCTGGCCTTGAATGCCTGCAGGGATGGGGCATCCACAACCTCCACGTGTCTTTGAAGTGACTGGAGCAGTCTGATGTATAAAATCTGCTTGGTAACTGATCAGTGTGCTACTCTGCTCTACCAATACAGTACATTATGTTGTATGGAAGTTAACTAACACGTGAGCTATTGCACTTTCCTGCTGAGAAAAGCTGTTGTTTAGAATGTGAATTAGGTGCTTTCAAAAGATATCATTCAAAACATATGAAAATCAGAAACAGTTTTCAAAATGTAATTTTGAAACCCAGATACTAGTTACATCTTGATTCTAATGGCAAAAAACAATAATCACTTTTAATAGGTGGGAGACCTACAACCTACATTAATTCCTATGCAAATGACAGTGAAGGGCTGCCCGATCTTCCTGCAGATGGCAGGACCACAAACGCAGCGCCCCATAATCAGGTACAGCCCAAACTACTGACACAGAAGTCGGACCATTAAATAGCACTGGACCATAGCCAACATTTACTCCTGTTCCCATCTTCACCGAATCACAGAATTGTAGGGGTTGGAACTTCCTTCTTGTGGTGTAATGAGGAAGTCAGCACAGTGACTGTCAAAGGACAGTATCTGCTTCTGTAACACCAATGCATTTGTCTCTGCCAGAATAATTAGAAAAGAATCTGCATCCAGGCTTACCATCAATCACTGTTCTGGACTTCCAGTCATGAAAGTTTATTCGTGCCAGCATTATTGATTCAGTGGGGATGGAAATTGGTACCCAGTGGCACTTTTCCTAATTGTCCACTGTACATTTCTCCCTGTCCATTTGTCCATGGACAAATGCAGCCTCAGTTAAATGAGGGCAAAGTAGGGTTGAAACCCTTGCTGCTGCTAGCAACGTTTTTCACAAAAGCTGACTTCACGTGTTCACCCTGAAATGTCTGAGACAACTAAGAACACTGGAAGAAAGAGACTGATTAAAGAATATAACATTGCATTTGGCAGTTTTCAGCCACACCTCACCCAATAGCCACTCTTAACAGGCTGCCACCACAGCTGTATACTTCCCACTTACAGATGAATCTTTAATTAAAGTTTTTTCAGACATTCACTTGTTTTCTGCACGTTCTAACAGTGGGTTTCTCCCTCAGGTTTGGCACTCATGTCTCTGGAGGGTGTCCTGTCTTTCGCAGTGTCCGACTCAACAATCCAACTCCCTTTGGTAATAATAATTTTGGTACAGCAAGCACCAATGCTTGCATTGCACTCCTTGTAGCAATAAGAATAAAACAACCAGTGTTCTGGTTGTTAAGTGTTACCTGGCCTTCTTATTTCCTCATTAAACTCTTCAGAGCAGTGGTCATTCATCTTCATTTTTTTTTCTATTTTTTCCTGAATGCCACAAAGACATTTACTTAACAAAATGCCCATCATTAATTTTAATGTTAATGGAAGTATTGTTTGGGACCTAGAGAAGTACTTTATTACCCATATGCATGGCATACATGCATGCACGTTTTCCATTTAGTTGGTTTATAGCAAACATGACAAAGCTCAAGATGAGCTCTAATACAAATCCAGTTGCAAGACAACAAATTCTTTACTTGATGTGGTCCTCCAAGACCACAAGTCTTGGTCTCCAAGACCAATTTTCTCCAAGAATTAAGCTGTGAGTCCTCTGAATGAGCAGCAGTAACTGCCCTTTCTGCTTTTCCATTCAGATATTCGTCTGGACTGGGAAATTTACAACCAAGAGGAAGATGATAAAAAGCTGGTGGACCTGCTGATGTTCTTTGGAGACCCTTTTCCTCCTAAGGACATGGCAAAAAACGAGCCTGCATCAACTGGTAGCAACTCAGAGATCGTGTTAGGATTGGATCAGCCCCCCATTCCCTGTGGAAGCGTTCATCCAGCTTTGCAAACCACAGATGAGGTCAGCTGTTAGTCTGTTTTTTATACTGCTGCTGAGATACATGATGGGTTTCTTGGCACGAAAGGTTGAAAACAATAACAGACAACATTTAACTAAGAGCTGCATTATGATATGTCAGCTTCTCTCAGAGTCAAAAAGCAATACATCAGTAGGTGGCTGAAGGTATCAGCAATTGGTTTCCAGAATGAGCTATAAGCAAACAGGACTTCAGCTTCTCTTAAAGTTGTTAGAGAAGTTGGTCAGATACTTTTTAAAGGCTGTCACTGATAAATAACATTTTGTTTTGTTAGCATAGAATTGTTAAGATAGCCAAAACTCTTGAATTTAGTCTACTTTTCTCATGGGTGCTTTATGTGCTGTAGTCAGGGAGCAGAATATAACTTGAGAAGTTCAAATGACAGCTGTTGTTTGGAGGTATTTGTCCTAGTGCCAGACTAGCTCTGGTACTGTCAGGTGTCACCATGTTATAACAGATCATTACATGTCAAATTTGGTTATAATATGGAGACTTAATGCCTCAAAGGACTGGGAGTGATGGGGAAGGTGGTATGCAGGATCCAGCAAAAGCTTTACAGAAAACACATGAAAAGCATCTTTTCTCTTTTTCAGCTCAGAAAACATAGTTGTTTTGAATACACCTCCTATCTTCCACATGCAACAAGGGAGAGTTGTTGTCCTAAAGTGCTGGTTTATGTAATGGACCCAAGATGTTGTGGTTGAGTGTTTCTCTTTGCTGAACAGGACCCAAGCATGCATGTTTTCCCAGCAGTCTGGGGACAGATTTAGGAGGGCAAACCTATGCATGAAAAAATTTGTGTCCAGGACACATCCATGTGGTCAGTTTTCATGCCAGAAAGAATGAAACTAAGCTGGCCATACTTATGGACAGTTAGTTCTCTGTACACATCACTTACATTCCTGTACACATCGCTTACATTCCTCCTTTGCAACGTAATGGTTTTAACTATTCCCCACCCTTTTGTCCCTGCAGTCTTCAAACACAGAGTGTGAAGAGGAAGGAATAATCACTCAAGAACCCACAATGCAGAAAATCGTCTCTGTGCTTCTACGGCCTCATGAAGGGGTTCCTGCTGACAACCCCTACTCCATCACTCCAAGACAGATAGTAAGCCATACATTTTCTTTGTGCTTAGACTTAGTTTGTTTCTTGGTGGATAGGAGGGGCAAAGGAGAAGGAGGATGCTTTGCTCTTCTGGATAAACAGCTGCAATACACCATACATCAGAAGTAACCACCACAAATAGGGGCCACTCTTCCTCAGAAATAAGATAAAGCTGTGGAGGGATACTCTCCCCCTTTCCACTGTTGCTCCAGGAAGGCCTGTTAGCTCAGGTGCTGAGCAGTGCAGGTGCCCAAGCCTGGCTCAGGTCCATGTCAGACCACATCTGACCGCTGTGCACAGACCTGCAGTGCTGTGAGATGTGGCAGAAATACCAGTTCCAGCTTTGCTCTGTCTCTGCTGGAACTCAGGCAAAACTTTCTTCTGCTCCTCAGTGCTCTGAGCAGGCAAATGCAGTCAGCTCAGCAATCCTTGTGCTGTTTCTTTAGAATCCAGGTCCAGCAGGGCCAAACATGAAATAAGTGCTTTTGCACAGCACTTAAAACAGATTTTAGTTATTACCTGCCTAATGCACCTAAAGGAAGCAGAACCTCTGCAACCGGTATATCACTAAAAATCTACTGTAGGTGGTTAATGCATTTGCTTACATTCTGTGCTGCTATGTGAAGGAAAAAATGGTCAGGAGGGAGCAAACAGCACTGTAAAATACTAAGCCCAGCTTGTAAACATTCAGAACAGGTGTGTGAATGCCTTCAGCTATGTGAGAGTCAGCTCAGTTAGCCATGGGGTGAGAGTGGGAAGAACTGGGCAGAAGTGTTTCCAAAAACAGGTGTGTATCCACATCTGCGTGCTTAGGGGAGATGTTCTCTGGCTGTACTTTAACTCTGTTGATGTTAAAGAGTGCCTGCACTGATACTTGCAGCTGAAATAACTAAACCTATTTTGTTGCCACATGCTGACATCTCAGTGCGTGCCCTGAGCATCCCCAGGAGATTTCCAGCTGCTCGTACAACTCAGCTGGAGCAGAGGAGCACTGGGATGCTTGTGAAATCCCAGGCAGCTGCCTGCACTGCAAAACAGGCAGCTCTCGTTGCAGGTGGTTCCGGGAGGTGGCAGCAGCTCCGTTTGCATCTCCTTCACCCCTCATGTCCTCCCGGAGCCCGTGGCTGAAGTGCGGTGTGAAGGGTTTGTGCTGGGATTCATGAGCCTGGATGACAAGGTAAGCCGAGTAGCTGCAGCAAGGCTAAAGATGACTCCAAAGTAATCGTTTCCCTTCCTGTAATTTTGGGTCCAGGCTGTGTATACCTGGTCACAGTGTAAAACAGTCCTCCACCTGCAGCCCCATGCATCCTTCCTTAATTAGGGTTCGTTTGCTGCATTTGCCTTTTAGTTTGGAAGCGTTCTGGGGTGGGAATGTCACTGTCTTCTTACACTGGCTGCTGCAGCAGCTCCCAGACAAAAGCCCAGGATCTGAATTGCTATCACAGCATCAGGTTTTATTGATTACAAAAGTGAACAGTGGGACTGAGACTCAGGGCTGTAGGGTTCCATTCCTGGCTCTGTGTCTTCATTCCTGCGTGAATCCAGACAGCACAGCTCTCCTCTGGGAAACTTCCTCTTTGCAAACATGCAAGTGCAGCTTGCAGGCTGATGTCAGGCTTGAACAGTGCTTTATGAATTGCCCTCAGATTCTCTGACACGAATCACTGCAACAGTGCAAGGTATGATGAATGAATTGTATCTGAATATTTAATAAAAACATCCCTAGCATTCCTTTCTCCTGGAGATAGTATTGCCTGTATGTGTATTAAGTGCAGTCATTGTGTCCAATTATTGCTGCATTTTTGCTGTTCCTTGCATGTTGCTGGCATGTCTTACAAACAGACAATGCCTTACCAAGCAGAATCCCATTTTGGGTAACGCCTCCTTAGGCTGAAAGTAGGCTTTCATATTTTAGTGCTGTCATTTATACATCATTTCTGTTTCCATTGTGTTGTCAGCTTGCAAAGACAGTTCCTGGCAGAGTCCATCGCAGACATGGTTACGATGCTGCACCGTTACGGATCGACGTGCGAGCTTCTGTAAGGCAAGCTCTGTAAGTGCCATCACACTGACAGCAGGAGCACTCACAGAATAAACCAGCCTGGAGGGAAGGGCTCTGACCAGCTCCATTCTTTTCGCTCAGGTTAAAAGTAGACATGGATCATGACGGAGGAATGGTGTTTTTTTCTATGGCGAGCGACCTCATACCTGACCCACCTCTGTTAGGAGTAAGTACGTCGTGCACAGATGTGTTCAGCTGCTTTGTACTGCTGGGAATATGCACAGCTATACCCACATGCTTTTTAAAATGCATCTTTATCACCATTATTCGCATGCTGCAGTCTTCAGTGCTGCACATATGTAAACCAAAAGGAGTATGAGTACTTACCAGCCAGGAATAAGCAAAGCTGAGCTCAGGCAATTCCTATCTCCTGTCCTTCTCTCTTTTTCCCTTTTTAATTTTATTTTTATTTTTTTTTTTATTTTTAAGACTTAAAGATCTGATAGGAGAATGAAACTTAGAGCAGCGTGGTCAGTTCCTGCACCCTTTGTCATCTGTAGACTTTCACCTTATGAAGTTATTTGTATTTGGGATACTTCCTCAATTTTGAAAACATTGGGCTTCTTTGGGGCAGAGTCCTTCAGATTCCTGGTGCTGCTGAAAGCACAGAGCTCTCAAGGGAACTGAAACTAACCCGTCTGAATCATGTCTCTACCAGGTTTTGACAGCTTCAGTACTGACTCAGAGTCTGAAGCTCACCAATTGCACTAAGGTTCCTCTGTACTTCAGGCTCCTGCTGTCTGCTCCCTTCAGCCTGACCAGCACAGATCTCAAGAAGGGCACCAAAACATCCCACAGCGAGAAGGAAGAAACAGAACAGCAACCACAACTTGTGCTTTACCCACAGCAAAACATGCTGGTAGGCTCAAAAATAATAAACCCCTGCCAGAATAGATAGCTTAGTAATTGGTGTGTTAGCGTAGCCCAGATGAACCGCAAGAAAAACAACCAGTCTAGAAATCTTTCAGTGTCAGGGGAAATAGTGGTGTTAGCAAATGCTAATTATGGCAATTTAGCCTGCTATATTGCAGGTACACAATATTTTTCCACTGTGGCCTTGCTGTGCTTTTCTCATCAATTCTGACCCTGTTGTGTTGCAGAAAACCCTGCGTGGTTTCTGAACCTCACCTAAATCAATAGCCAAATGCATGCTGAACTAATTAAAATACTTCCAAACCTACATTCTCTCATTTCCTTAAATTAGATGCAGACAGTGCAAAGAGAAGGAAAAAAAAAAAAAAGATTAGCTCAGGGTGTACATGGTGACATTAACGGAAGCAAAGTCCTGGATTCAAGAATTACCTACGGTGCAAGGAATGAACCCTCAGCTGCATTTGGAAGCATGGTTCTCATTTCCAGAGCTCACCCTGACTTAGAGGCACACCGGTCTTAATTCTGCATATGTCAGAAGAAAGAAGATGTAGCATTTTTAAGACATCTTTGGGAATGTGGTATTTGTAAGCTCAGGAATTGAACACCTTTGTCTTGCTAGAGAATGTTTCTCCATCATGATTCAACAATTAGCTGTTCAACTTCTAGCTTTACACTCTGTACTGTTTTCATAGGAAATAGCTGTGTTTCTTTTTTCTATAATGTCCACTAAAATACTTTATTCCTGTGGGAGTTTGGTTGCTGGCATGACACCTTTGTGTACCCATGGGAAAACGTGCATTCAGGCCTTTGGGCGCTGTTTACTTTGGATTTCCTGCACGTGGTGCTGTCTTATATGACAGCCATCTGAATTCCTCTTCCCACAGGTGAAAGTGTCATTCCACACGACCCCAGAGTTGCTGACGTATCAGCATTTGCCAGACACCCAAGTATTTCCTGGATTTGAAGTGCTCCAGTTTGAGAGTGGAGAGAGAAAGCTGAAGTTCAGTCAGAATCTGATCATCGAATACAGTAACCACAGCACCCAGGTAAGCACCCTGCAGCCAGGCCAAGGCCAGGCTGGATGTGGCTCTGGGCAGCCTGGTCTGGTGGTTGGCTACCCTGCACGCAGCAGGGGAGTTGAAACTAGATGAGCATTGTGGTCCTTTTCAACCCAGGCCATTCTGTGATTCTGTGATGAGGCTGACTGCTGTGGACCTTCAGAAGGGGCTGTGTTTCATCAGCATCTTTGAGTCACCAAGAGCTGCCTCCTGCAGCACCCTAGTCCTTGAAAATCCCATCTGTCCAGCTCATGCGGTGCAGTCACAGCCCACCTGTGTTTAAAGACTGATCTCTTCTAGATGCAAAGCCATAAAGCCCCCAAAACCATCATCTGCAGGCACTGTTTTTCACACCACGTACTTCTGAGGACTGAGCTGTAAGACCTAAGCACCATATCTAAGATACAGTCAACTTAATATTCTTGGGCAGTGTGTACAAACTGAATGATTCACAGTGGGCTGTATACAGTCCTCAGGGATGACAAGATGTTGTCATGTCTGCATCTCCACAGCAAAACCTAAAAAACAAATCACAATGTTCACTCTGTGTTACTTCGTTAAGACCACAGCATCTAGTTTGAAAACCTGCCCCAGAATAGTAAAACCAGCAACAACTTAATTCACTCAAAGCTGCAGAATGGGGAATAGACTCAGTTGCAAAAGAGCACAGAAGGTAAGTACTGCTGATGTAGTGCTTGAAGTAAAACAACCCAGCTGTAGTAAATACACAACGATCATTAGGGATCCCTTCCAACTTGGGATATTCTATGATTCTATGATACAAAAATAAGGTGTCCTGTTGTTTTCTTTCCCTTTTCTCTCTTTTGTAGCTAGTCCCAGTGACTGCATACCTTACTGTTCCAGTTCTGGAGCTGTCTTGCAACATGGTTGATTTCAAGACCTGCTTTGTTGCACAGACCAAGACTAAACATGTCTTCCTGTGTAACAGGAGTGGCTGTAGAATTTACTGGACTGCTTTGCTAGGTATTGCATATATTTGTGTTTTGCAATATCAATAGCTGATATGAGATGACCGTGTTCACTTCTGTTCTCCCGTATGTGGGACTGTTGTTGTTTTTACACGAGCATATCCCCGCTGATTTCAGCCTTTACTCCAGATTTAACCAATAGATCAAATCACAGCCCTCACTTTCAGTGGGACACGTTCATTTATAAAACAATCCTGGGAGGCAACAAGGAGCAGCAGCTCCTCATGAGAGCTGTTTGAATTTGTGCCTAATGGGATTAACAACAGATGGACTTCAGAGGAGAGAAGAGCAGGGCCTGATTAGTCAGACACAGAGGATGTTGATCACTGCCCTTGATTAAAGGATGAAAATTGAAACTGGCCACTTGCGTAGAAAACCTGTGACAGTGCAAGAAGTTATGTATTGATTAGTTGGCAGGCCAGGAGGTATATTGTTTTTAGTGCTATGTGCTCTACAAACCTACATAAGAGCTTTTGTGTTGCACTGTTTGCTACTTGCCTTTGTCATTGCAGATCAACAAGAAAGGCACAATGACCTGGAAGTATTTTCTGTCTCCCCTGCTAACGGCATCCTGGAGGCACGTGAAGCGGAGCAACCTACCAAAGACATGTTGCAGATCACCTTTACTGCAAGGTACAGTTAGCAAAACTGAAACCCTGCCCTTACTCCCTGAGAAGCCCATTCTTATGCTGTGAGAAGTCACTGAGAGCAGAGAGGAGTGCTGCTCTGTGCTTGTGTTACCAGCTTCTGATGCTAATCCTGTGCTTCCAGCTGGTGCTTTATCCATATAACCCCATTCCCTGTGCTGCTTCCGCATACAGGATTTCTTTTAGACTTCTCACCCCAAATTTCAGACATGCTGTGACAACAGTTGGTATAACATACTGTATGACTGGATTAAATCCCTACCTGTAGGGTAATATCTTCAACGGAGAGCAAATCTCAGGCCCGCAGTTCAGTGCAGAGGCTGATGCAACAGTTAACTCCTGTATGCATCCAGCCCCTTGCAAGGACAAAGGGAGAAATGTGTCCAGTAACATACCTCCTTGTTTTGCTTGAAGGAGTAAAGTCTTGCAGCCACTCTCAAGGATACTTCATTTCAGTTTAGGCACTCTAAAAGTAACTTTTTCAATTCCTGCACTTCCAAATAGCTCCTAATGAGCAAACAGCTCAAAATGCAAATTCTCCTAGAAAGATACAGTTCATTTTAGTCTTGTTTAGCCTGGTGCAATGCTTGGGCTGAATAGACCAAATCACGTTGATATTTGGTGGAAAAGATGTATCAATGCAATGCCGTTGTCTGTAGTGCAAAGGTTTTCCTTACAACAAAGATAACGTGGAGCTGCAGGCAGATAACAGCAAAGGGCAGAAGAGAGTAGATGCAAATAACTCTCCTGTAAACATCTGATATTGTTCTAATTACATTTGTGGACATCTTATTGGAATGTTGTCGGTGAACTCTGAATGCTGCTGACAGTGATGTTAGACAAAGCAAATTACAGGTGAGTTATTTTTGTAAGCAGGTGCCCTGGGTTGTGCTCTGAGCCCTACACTGCTGGAGCTATTGGAATCTCTGGGATGAGGAGTGGAGCGGCTGCTGTTAAGCTGTCCTTGCTCTGAGCATGTCTTGGACCAGAGACTTCATCAGATTCTCTACTACTTAAATTGTTTGGCAGTTCCTTTTGTCTGCCTGAAGCACTTAATTTTGCCTGCCAACAGATTATTTCAGGCATTCTGCTGCACCTACCAGAGAGCACAGACCTTACTGTATAGCAGCCAGCCCACCTGCTTGGCCCTGGACCATAATAACCAGCACAGAAGAGCTCAGAATTAGCATGACATCAGGAAATAATTACATGTGAGGAGATTATAACGAGTGGTCTTCCTGCAGGGGAATTTTGTACTGGCAGGACAGAGGCAGGCCTTTACTATATATATATATATATCTCTCTTAGAAGACAAGAACTACTTCAGATGGATTATCTCTGTGTGGTTGGTTAACACTAGCCTTAAGTAGACTATACTGCAAGATTTCTACTTGGCACAAGTGCTAAAAGTACACTTGCTGGGAGCTTTTTGATGTTCATTTACAACCTGGACTTGGTAGACTGTCAACTGCAGTAAGACGAGGGATAAACTTACCAACTTATCAAACTTGTCTGTCACAGGAAGGCATCATCACATCAAAGCAGTGCATGCATTTGCTCCCCAACAATTTGCTCCCTCAGGAGAGCTTCGTATTATTTCTTTAACTCAAATTGACTTCCACAGCTAGGAATGCAATCAAGTTCCTCTTTCACTGATGAAAGCAATAACCCACAGTCTTTGTGAGGTAGAGACTAGCATTGTTTAAAACACTCCCTGTGTAGCCAGAGGACATGAACCTGAAGCCAGGTCCCTATCCCACACTGTTGTTGGAAAGTGTTAGTGATGAGGAACAGCTCATTCCTTAGTCTCTCCTTTTCCTTCTGTAAGGAAGCTGATCTCATCCTGAAACACAGAGATGGGTCCAGCTGTAGCAGTTTATGTCTTCCCTCTCTCCATTTTAGGAGTGACACTGAATATGAAACAATCCTGACAGTTACTGGGATCCTGGGAGAGAAGCCTTGCAAGCTACAGATCAGGGGACAAGGAACATACGATGGGAAGTATGAAGACATGTATTGACTGAAGCAAGATGAGGGACAAATGCCAAGGTAAAAAATCAGCTGCAAAAACAGTGTAAGCTGAGCCTGTACTTTCATTCATTTCAGCTGCTACACATGGACTGAAATTTTAGCAGAATAAAAAGTTATGAGGAGAAAAATACCCACTCATGGTACTTTGAAAAGTCGTAATCCTATCCTGTGCTGACTTGTATTGCTGTGATAAGCTTATCATTACCAGCAGAGCCAGGCTCTGCAAAATGATGTTTTAAATTGCAAGCCAGCCATGGTAACTGTTAGGCCAAAGCAGTGTTGCCCAGCAAAATATGCTGCAAATTACAGTTGAAACTACTGCTTTAGAAAAGTTATTGTTTTGCCCTTTTTTGGGGGGAGGGAACATTGTTTGACAAGAATTAGGAAACAGGACAGCATTCCTGGGCTGTTTTCTCAGCACCTTCCATGAATATGAGCAAAGCCACAGAGCCAACTTAACTTCCCACAGCCTCCTGTATGTTTCATCATGCTTGGGTACCGAGAAGAGCCCCTTCAGCTATTGGAAAAAGAAACCCTTCTGCCTTTTAATTCCTTCCTCCCCTATGGTTCCCATTTACTTAGACATCTCTTCAGATGTTTTTGGTATTACTTCAGCTAAAGGTCACTGAAACTCCCACTTCTCAGGTTGTTTTCTACTCCCATTGAGTGAGGGGAGGAAGGGGCTGCAATCTACACTGGAAGAGAACAGAAGATATAATCTCCCTTCTGCCTGCTTTAAAGCAGAACTTACTTTGTACGTAGGAAGTAACCTTAGTGTGCACAAAAGACCCTGAAGCTACTACTGCCTCTCTACCCCCCCAGATAATTCCATCTTTGAGCTGTGAATACACATGAAGCTGTTGGGTAAGACTGGATGCAGGAACGGGATGTAAGAACATCAGATGGCTCTAGCTAGTCCTGACCTTCAAATAACAATCAAAATAAAAAGAATGCAAACATAGTGCAGGAGAGCAATTGTATTATTAAGTGCAAAGACAAGATCCAGGACAAAGAACCTCAGTCTGTTACAAATTTAAACTTTCTAATGTGTCAAAGGTGATTACAGCATTTCTTTTTCAGTCTATTAGCTGAGAATTTCACTGATCTTTTTGTTCCCAAGAAGGAGAACAGATAATTTAAGATTTTACAAGACGAAATCAGTATTAGCACTGATGTACTGAGATGTTGCCAAAGTTCATGTAGTGCTGAAATCTGCTTCATATAAAGAATAACTCATTAGGCCTAAACTTGTCTTCTAAGTTAGTCATAGAAGCTCACAGAAATACGTTGTACAAGCTGGAATGGCCACTTTCAAACTCCTGGTTTCTATTCAATTCTTCAACACCTTTGTATTCAGGCACCCTAACAGCTTGTTTGTACCTTGCTCCTGGGTAAATGACTTTCTGCCCTTTCCATTTTGCCCCACTGGAAGTCTGAGAGCAGCATGGTTTAAGAGAAAAATATACAAAGTGCATCTTGCAGCATATGGAGGCTTTAAGACATTAGCCAAGTTATGACACAGTGGGCAGGTGCACTTAGGTTATCAAGGAAACGTGAAGTCTTTCAAAACAAGCCTTGCCAGACCTCCTGCAAGATGGTGAATTCTTCAAGAAAACGCTAGGAAGGCCATTTCCTCTGCAATGACATTTTCATTTTGGGAAGCAGTTTTAGATTTGTCGTACAAGGAAAGGGTACAATGAACTACACTGATAATATTCACAGAATAAAGAGATGAATTAGATTAGAGGTATTCGATAGTAATCATCACTGTAGGGCCTATATTTGAACTTCAGCTGAACTCATTCCTTTTCTCATATTAGGTTGCTTTTCAGCTCTGAAGCAGGTGCTGGTTTTCATTCTCCCACCTGCACATCAGCCCTGTATGATTCATTCTACTTCACACTTTGTGCCTGAAATTTGTAGATCTAGCAACAAAAACCCGAATCCACTTGATTTCAGAGTGCAAATCATTTGCTAGTACTGTAGAAGGCAGAGAAGGAGCTGCTGTGTTGGGCTGTCAGTATGCTGGAGTTCAGTTCCCTGGATACTCAAATACTGCTGCAGCTCCCATGCCGGTTCCAATGCACATTGATACAACACCATATGCTCTGAAATGAAAGAATACAGAGAATTGGGATAAACATCAGGCTTGTACTACCTGGCAAGAAAAGAAATCCAATAACTTCCAGCTATCCACCGCTCTCCAGTGTCACCATAAAATTCTAACTCCATGTTCAAAGCTATCAAAGGAATGGGAGAAGGGCAAAATCCAAACCAATGCCATGCCTAAATTACCTCTGGATACACTGAAGGCCAGTATTGTTGTTTGGTGCTCACCTTTTCCCTCTACGCTTCAATTCATTGAGCAAAGTGACAACTTGACGAGCGCCAGTGCAGCCCAGTGGGTGCCCCAGTGCTATTGCTCCTCCCAGGGGGTTGACCTTCTCCAGGGGAATGCCCAGCTTCTCAACGCAGTACACAGCCTGTAAAGACAGGGGATTGTTTCATAGAGATGCTCTCGCCTGTTAGTTCTCAGCTCTCCTGCAGCAGAGAGCTCAGAGGGCTGCAGAGCAGACTGGTGATCTCCTCCATACACAAAGAGCTGGGCTGACAGTCCTAGGCAGGTCTAGGTGCTTCCAAAGATCTGTGCTCAAAATGAACTTAGCTCGATTATGTTTTCTTTGACATAAAACCCACACTGTTGTGTCAGCTGCTTTGAAAGGATTTTAGTATTAAGCAGTTAGGTTTTAGCAGCCTGGCATCAGCTAGACCCTGGAAAGCAGGGAACTACGTTACAAAGCCAAAACACATGAAGCAAGCTAAACCTATCAACCTTCATCTCAAATGAGCCCACAGACTTTCAACAGGCAAGGCACATATTTGTGGAAGACACAAGCAAAGTTTCTTCATTTCATTAAGGATGCTGAAATTGCAACATGCTGACATCACCCAGTTACAAATCACAGCCCTTGTGAAACAGCAACTTCCCAAGTTGGTGTTAGGATACCACCGTAAGGTTCACATTCTCTATACTTGGTGGAGAGTCGTCTGATTATTTTTTTTAATCAATCCTAAGCTACGTAGACAATGCCCTGCTTATTTCTACTTAAAGAAAATGAAAGTAACCTGTACGTGTTCTTAACATTTGGCCAGAGAAATGTAATCCATGGAACAAGTTCAAATCTTAATTTTGAGACCACAGTGAAAGATAACGTTTCAAAACAACATAATGGCTCAAAGTGATGATGATCACTCACCTGGCTTGCAAAGGCTTCATTAATTTCGTATATATCAATGTCATTCAGAGTCAGACCTACAGTTCAGAAAAGTAAAGATTTAGAAGATATTTTTGCCTTATCACTTGCATCAAAGGGAATAACTCAAAGTCTTCATTTATGAATTCTACTTCTACTCCACTAGCAGCAAAAGGAGAGGACCCTGGCTCCCCATGACGTGTCTACATTCACATGCATGTTTATGTATAACAGTATCTAAAGACTGCAAAACATCACAGCCCTTGGTATCCTATCACTGAGTTTGAAAATACATCAATTAAATTTGATTTCTTTGCACAGAGGTTAAGGATTGAAGAGTATTTTGAGACAGAAACATGACAGTACAGCCAAGCCTATGACCACAGTGATGACAGGGAGATACAAGAATAATCATGAGCTATTTAACCCTGTGAGTATGGTAAAAACCTGAGGAAAGCCTGTTCCATGGGTCAGATGCCAAAACTATAAAGAAAACCAGAACCCAAACAAGCAAACCACACACACACACACTGTAGGTATGCTAAGTGAAAAAAGCACTAAGTGAAAATAGCACTATGTGAACACTAAGTCACGTGCCACATGTTAACAGTTCATTGTGAGTGTGCAGGGCTTTAATCCTGAGTTTCTCAAAGGTGAGCAAATGACAATAACTCAGAAGTTAATAGTATTAGAATGATCCTAGGACCTCTTTCAAGGTACTGAATGTAAGCTGTTTCTCTGGCTGCTAGCAAAATCCCCTCAGATTTCAGTCAGAGTGTGGCTCAGCCCCGTGCTGAACACTGTGCGAGTGATGGCCTGTTCCTTACCCGCCTTCTGCACAGCAACAGGGATGGCGTAGGCTGGCCCTATGCCCATCACATCTGGGGGGACTCCAACCACAGCAAAGGACCTGAGCACTCCCAGGATGGGCAGCCCCAGCTGCGTGGCTCTGGAGCGCTTTGCCAGCAGGACGGCAGCCGCTCCATCGCTGACCTGGCTGGCGTTACCTGTTGGAAGAAATCTATGAGCACCTCCTCTACCTGCACGCTGTATGGGAAGGCAGGCAAGCCAGGGGAATGACAGCAATGTAACAACAGAGTAGACCTGCTGTAGTGCTGCCATCCTCCTTGAAGGCAGGCTTCAGCTTTGCTAAACCTTCCAGGGTCGTGGAGGGCCTGACCCCTTCATCTTGGTGCACAGTGATTGTCTTTTGGTTGCCCTCGTTATCTACAACAGTGGTCTTCAGTGGGACAATCTCAGCTTTAAACAGTCCCATCTGCTGAGCTTTTGCTGCTCTGTTAAAAGAAAAGCACAGAAGGTTAAAATAACTTCTGAGCGAGATCCCCTTTCAATTTGAATTCATAAAATGTAAATATTTAATATTTCCAAATAAGGTGGAGTAAGAGCTGAAGGACAGCTCAGTAAGCCCACAGACATCCTGAGCCAAAGGCCAGAAAATTGCTCCTTCCTCAGGTGAGAGGTGAGGATCATGTTCACATACCCTTTTGTGCTATCAGTTCAATGTCAATGAGAACACCTGGCATGCCAAGTTCCTTAGAAGCACAGCCAGAATTTAAAGGTTAACTGGCCTGAGCAGTGGTTTCCTGTATTAGATAAATAATTGGACCGGGGCGATGCTCAAACAGGATTCTGAAAGTCAGATTAACTCTTTGATGCCACTAGCTTTATGTCTCACCCACCATCACAAGCCCCAGGGACTCCAGGAGTCTGCTTACTTTGGCAATGGTTTAACCTAAGAGAAAGGTTACTGGAGGCAGAATTGGGCTCACTTGTAGCCAAACACCTGCAGCACAGTGAAGCCACTCATATCAGCTCAGCAGTTCTCTACAAACAGCTGCTTTCAAATATTTCCTCTTAGGAAAGATTCCTTCTGCTGCAGCACTCATGTTCAGTTTAAAATGACACTGAGCCAAAGCCACTATGAAAATACTATGAAACCCCATGACAGCTGTATCCTTTCAATTCTAATAAATACAGGTGCACTCAGTGCTCAAACTTGTATGTCTAGTGATGTGTCTGCAAGAATACACACCTCCCAGTGCAGCTTTGGCTTCCTTAGCACACCACCCTGGACACGATGGTTGGACCTGATGATCTCAGTGGTCTTTCCCAACCCTAATGACTCCATGGCATCAAGTTTTGAAAGCCAAGATGAAGTCTATACATAACTGCTTATGGGAGGAGCAATGTTTTGTTGTTGTTGGGTTTTTTTAATCTGTTTTACTATCTCTGTTCCTTAACCAAAAGTTAAAAAGATAAAATAGAAGGCACTTACTTTTGTTGGGAAGCCAAGGCAAAGGCATCCTGCTTCTTTCGGGAAATTCCAAACTTCTCTGCCACATTTTCTGAGGTTATTCTGGGGAAAACAACATCAGCAAAAAGAATCCAATGACACAACCAGTGATGCTGCAGTTGGCTTCTGCCAGAACAACCCAAGCTACAGGCAGTGGCTTCAATCTTGAAGCTAGCTGCAGACTTCTCAACATGGAACTGCTTGGCACCTACCCCATGGGAATAAGGCAATCACGAGCTTTGCTGTTTTCCATCATGCTGGAGCCGATATCACCAGGATTATTTCCACTTCTGAGGGACATTGTTTCCACACTAAACACAGGAAAGAGCTGAAGTTACTACTGCTGCTTCCATTTCTAATGTTTGTCCATTTCTGACCCATCAAAACTCAGTTACTCAACAGCATTCTTCCCTATCTCCCTACAGAAACACAACCAGTATGTAAAAACTGCCCAAGGCAGAAGCTCTTCAAGCATCAATATACAATTAGCACAAAACTAAAACAGACTAAATTGGTCTTTGTTTTGCTATAAAATACCACAATGTCAACAGTTAATTTCTCACGTTCTATACCAAGGAAGGAATTGCTGACCATCCTTGCACTTGTCTTCAGATGTGATGAGAAACCCAAGGTTCTATAACTGCCTGAAAGGAGACTGTGGTGAGGTAAGGGTTGGCCTCTTCTCCCACATAACAGCAATAGGATGAGAAGGAACGGCCCTAAGATATGCCAGGTGAGGTTTAGGTTGGGTGTTAGGAAAATCTCACCCAAAGGAGTGGACAGGCACTGGCACAGGCTGCCCAGGGAGGTGCCTGAGTCACCACCCCCAGAGGTGTTCAAGAAACATGGAAACGTGGGACTTCAGACATGGTTTAGTGGGCAATATTGGTAGTTGGTAGATGGATGGTTGGTCTAGATTACTTTAGAGGTCTTTTCCAATTTTAGTGAGTCAGTGATTCTGTGATAGCCAGGTACAGCTTAAAAACCCACTGGCAGCATAACAACGTAAGTATTAAGCAAGCCATGACAAAGAGACATGAACGAGTTGTGCCATTTGCATTTCGCAACACAAAGAATTTCAGATATGGATCCCATGGTCTTTGACCTACAAGAGCAGATTGAAAACACCCAATATTACCATCTAAATATAAAGCCACTGCTTAGACTAGTGAGCTCGTGTACAGTCAACCCAGATCATGAAGCCTAAGATGGGAAGAGAGTTTGAATTCTACTCTGTGCCACATAAATACATTAATAAAGAGCAAGCTGTGAAGAAAATATCCCTGGAAAATGCAAGATATCCTTGAGCAGAGGTTGGACTAGGTGACTTTCAGAGATCCATTCTCTGAATGATAGCATCTCTTTCCTGGGAGGAACATAGATCTGCTTGGAAGGGATCTCTAACTCCTCATACACAAGCAGAAGGACATAGCACTACTTTCAGGAAGCCTAAGCAAGTGCCATAAAAAGATATGCTTACCCACAAGCCATGCCAATGTCATATGACCCATTTCGGATGCCACCTGTAACAGAAGTGCACAAACACTCTTATTATCATCAAGAGCGAAAGCACTTTGAGTTTGGCTGTGGATCTGGAAAAGCTGACATCCCCTGCACCTGAATGGGGCATTCCCTCCATGTTCCTGGCTGCCATGTCAAGAGGTGGTATGGCTGAAGACCAACTACAGCCTGGCCTGCATCTAGCTGTAGATGTCCCTGATGGAGCTGCAGAAGTCTCTGTTCATTGCAGGGGAGCTACACTAGATGGTCTTTAAAGGTCCCTTCACTGCTTCTACGATACTGTGGTGAGGCCAGGACTGACCCTTCTAGATGTGGAATGTATGGCAGATCTCATCTTCAGGAGACCAAGTCACATCTGGAAGGGTAAACTTAGCTTTGCAGGGATATAAAAGCATTCCATCAACAATCCATTGATAACTCCTAACAGCAGAAGACATTATGGCTGTTTTTACTGCTTGGAGAGATTGGAGGACAAATCAACGGGATACACAAGCACTTGGGGTGGGACTCTAGCCTGAGGGCCCATAATACTCCATGCACTTACCAGCTATATTGATAATGGCCTGTAACCCAGAGGAGCACTGCCGGTTCACACTCGAGCAAGGCACCGTCTCTGGGATACCACTAGAACACAAGATAAAGACTCAGCACCGAGAAGCCACACAACAAAGCAAACCCCTCAAGAGAACATTAAGCCACCTGATTAAACTTTAACCCTCATGCTCAAGACAGATCCCATTATGCATTTGTTGACCTATTTGGTCCTGCACCAAGAGAAAGCAAAGTTCATCGATGATTTCCAAACTTGATTTGCAAGCAGCTCTGTGTCAATGCCCCCAGGTCTACCTTCACAAAGCGCTCTGTAAGCAGGTCCTGCTCCCCATACCACCTCAGTCACTGCTGCTCCTGATAGGTTATCAATGTATACATGCAAGGGAATGCCTCTTTGCACAGTGCTCTCCAAACACTCGATAAAAGTCTGATTTGTGGGCAAAAGGTGATTTGCCTCATCGCAGCCTGTGACCCAGTGCTGCTCTGTAGCCAAGACCCGACAAGGAACCTCGACGAGGTGAGAGTTTACCTTAGGAACTGTGCAACTCTCGCAATCACAGCTCCAGCTCCCGGCTGCAGCACGTTTCCTGGGTGCAAAGACATGGGCCCGGTCAGTGGTTGCACTGCCCTGCCACCCGGTGGGATGCTGAAGGGATGTTAACATCACCAAGCTGGTGGTCGGGGCCACGGGGCAGCAGGACGGAGCCCAACCCCTCGATGGGACAGACAGATGTCCTGATTTTGTAACGCTACACGTTCACCCCTTCGTGCCCCCAAGTACCCAGCAGGCAGCGGCATCCCAAAAGCCATCCCCACACAGCACCCATCGCTCACCAACGCAGATATCTCCCAGCGTCTCAGGCCGCAGACTGACGTCCTGCAGGACAGCTGTCATGACGGCAGACAGCAGCTCGTCGGGCGTGGTGTCCTACAAGCACACGGGATTAACAGCACGCAGCGAGCGCTGATAACCGCCCCGCCATCGCTTCTCCTCCTCGACCCACGGGGTCGCAGCGTGAGGTGACCCCGAACGCCGCCCCTCGAGCTGGGGGATCCCTGCCGTACCTTGAAGACTCCTCGCTTGGCCCGGCCGATGGCCGTCCTCCGTCCGTGCACCACCACCACATCTTCGGGACCGGATGCCGCGGCGCGGCTCCCACACGGGACGGCCCTCACGTCGCCCGTGCCCGACAGGTGCCCCAGCACCGCTCGCATTCGCCTCAACGCCCCGCCGCCCGGCTGCACCGCCGCCATCTTGTTCGCCTGCACTGCCCCGCTCCGCCGCGATCCCGCCCCGCGCTCCCGCCCTCGTCCTCCCCCAGTGACGGGCTGCGCTGCGCTGCGCTGCGCAGAGGGGGGGCGGGCGCCGTGCTGACAACAAAGTCCGAGGGTCGGGGCCGCTACAGAGGGGTCGGTGCTGGGCTGCGGGCTGCTGTATGTGGCTCGGCACGGCTAAGTGCCGGGTCCTGCACGCCGGTCACAACAGCCCCATGCATCGCTGCGGGCTTGGCGCAGAGTGAAGGACCTGTGGGTGTTAGCTGAGCCAGCGGTGTGCCCAGGTGGCCGAGAAAGTCAGCGGCATCCTGGTTGTGACAGCAGGAGCTGTGAGGGATCTGGAGCACAAGTGTGATGGGAGCGGTTGAGGGAGCTGGGGTTGTTCAGTGTGGAGAAGAGGCTCAGGGTGACCTCAGTGCTGTTTACAACTGAGAGGAGACTGTGCTGAGGGGGCTGACCTCTGCTCCCAGGTAACAGTGATAAAATCAGATGTGATGGCATTAAGTTGTGCCAGTGTAGGTTCAGGTTGGATATTAAGCACAATTTCTTCTCAGAAATAGTGGTAATGCGGTGGCACAGGCTGCCCAGGGAGGCGGTGGAGGTGTCCCTGGAGGTGTACCAGAGCCATGGAGATGTGGCACTGAGGGGTGTGGGCATGGAGGGTTAGGCTGAGGTGACTTGGTGATCTCAGTGATCTTTTCCAACCTTAATGACTGCATGAATTTCTGCCCCCTCACCCCCTAAGGTCCCCAGGCTCCCACAAGGCACAGCCACAACACGAAGCCACACAGAGCCGAGGGATCCGAGCCGCACGGGTTCATTATTGGGGTACAGCCGCCAGCCCTGGATGCTCAGGGCGATCACTCCGGGCTCTGCAGGCCCCGTCATGCCCTGGCACAGCTCTCCCTATGTACAGTGGTTGCCTACTGATAACTGGCCCAATAAGAAGGAATTATACAGATGTATAGGCTACACGGTAAAGATGATATACAATATCACACTGGAGCCTTTTCCCGACGAAAGGAAAACGTTTCTCTACGCTACACGGTGAGACAGCGCGGAGAGCTCTCACACGCTATGGCCGAAATAAAATATATATATATAAAAGAAATTTACATGGCATAATATTACATTCTCTTTTCCTAGTTTGTACATCAGAACACTGCGAGGGTTTTAAAAAATTAAAAGGCAAAGGCACCTGAGGAGCGAGTCACACTCACGTGCATGTATACATGTACATGTGTACATACACAGACACACACACACATACATACATACATGAGCCAGGGGACCAGGCCTTCCAAAGGGGGCAGATTTTGTAGAGTTGTGGCATCATGCAATCATAGAAGGATTGGAAGGGACATTAAAGCCCATCCAGTCCCCAGCCATGAGCCTCCCCAGCACATCAGGCGGCCCAGGGCCCCATCCAACCACGCCTTGAGCATCATCAGGGATGGGGCACCCACAGCTCTCCAGGTAGCTGTGCCAGGGCCTCACCGCCCTCATCATGCAGAATTCCCCCATAATATCTAATCTAAATCTCCCCTCTTTAGTTTAAAACCATTCCCCCTTGTCCTATCAAGAACTTGAGACACTCATTGGCTTCCAGGGACCCTGTGTTTACCCCCCGAAGGTTTTCCGGCAGACTAGTGTTGGTCAAAGAGACCGGAACCCAACTGTGGTTTAAACTTTCTCCTGCAGGGCTGATGCCACTTGGAGTGATGGGCACCCAGCAGCTCCTCTCTGTCTAATTTTAGGGGTCCCTCCTGCAGCTCCACACACACACACACACACAAACATACACACACACACACACACACACACGCACATTGTCAACATGGCTGCTGCTAATTGTGCCCGACTCCATACTTTGTGCCGAGTCGAGCACAAATCACTCCTTGATTGTAACCGCTTAAGGCACAGATCAGTATTGAACGCCGCACCGCTGGAGATGCTGCTGCTTCCAGACGGGTTCCCTCCCCCTTGTGACACCTGGGTCCCCCAACTCTGCAGTCTGAGGATCATCTCCTCTAGCCTGGCAGAAGCCTGGTGTGTTTCTCTGTGGGGAGCAGTGATGCACATCTGCTTTCTGCGCTGGTCCTGCGGTTGCTGGTAGGGGGACAGATGAATCCAATGCACTTTTCCCAAGAGATAAGTGACACGGTGAGCGGGGATGCCCCGCAGCACTGCTGATGGCAGGAAGTTGCTCTCTCTGAGGCTGACACAAATGGGATGTCCAGGAAGTTTCTTGTTCTGCACTCCCAGTGGTGGCCACCGTCCCCAGCCTCTGACTGTCCCGTGCGTGGCTTCAAAATTCAACAAGGCAGCAGCCACCAAGGTGGTGACGAGCAAGAAGTGACCTGTGGGGCCACCACCAGGATGGCCCAGTGCTGAGGTCTGAATGCAGAGTGCAAAAGGGCCGTGGATCTGGCGGCCATCCCCCCTCCCATCAGTACTTTCCAGCCAGGGCTCAGAGCCCGCAGTTGACGAAGGGGTGCCTCAGCAGGTCCTCAGCCGTTGGCCTTCGCTTTTCCTCCACAAAGATCTGCTTGAGGAAGTTGCGGCAGGAGCTGGAGACGCCATCGGGGAGCTGGGGGTTGGTCGGCTGGGTGGCGATCTTAAAAATAGCTGCCATGGCTTCGAACTCTGCCCACGGAGGCTTCTCTGTTAGCATCTCCACCACGGTGCAGGCCACGCTCCTGCAACAACGACAGGCAGGGGTGAGACAGCAGACAGGGGCCTGAGGCAGCACTATGCACAGGGCTCACTGCTCCCACAGTGAGAGAAGATTCGCACGTCTCATCCTACAGCTGATAGCTGACTTTGAGAGGCTGCATCCAGCTAACTTAAAATCAGGGCAACCAAAACACAACAGCTCTTCTGACAAACTTTGTAATCAGCCTGTTTTTCAGACTGAAACAACAGCTACGGGCTGGAGCCACATATGGCCCTAACGTATCAGGCCTTCCTATCAGGCAAGCTGTGGTTTTGAGTGCTCTCCTTTGGAGACCTTCAGCTACGACTCACATCCCACAGTCAATCCTAACATTCAACTCCCATTTTCATCCTTTGCATTGCTCTGTCTTCCAAACACTTAGCTATGCCTGTTGTTCCTGCTGCAGTTTCCCAAAAGGATTGTTTAAATGGTAGTGGTGGGGTTTGTAGTGTACTCCTTACCACACATCAGCTTTCCTTCCATATCCTTCTCCACTGATAACCTCTGGGCTCATCCAGTATGGTGTTCCTGTGACAGATTTAATTCCAGTCCCAGACATGCAGATGGTCTGGATGCGTTTGCTGGCCCCAAAATCTCCAAGTTTCACATTTCCAGCAGAATCTCTCAAAATATTGGCACCTAGGGATACAAAGCAACAACAAAAACACCAAGAGATGAAGCAGCAAGCTAGCTGAGCAGCAACAGTGAGGACAGCAGGAAGGGCACAGGCAAACAGCACAAGAGAGAGCCCAAAGGGCCATGCTGGGGCTGCATTCAGTGGTACACAAAATTCCACTCTGCTAAGGCAGATGCGGTCCAGCCGGGCTGATTCTGACCGGCCCTCAGTCAGCAGATTCCCCAAAAGTGAGCAGTGAGATGATGAATTATCCTCCCCATGCCCTGACAACAGAACAGAGCCTCAGATCCCTCTGATTGCCAGGGTCTCTCAATTCTTGGGTATGTTGCACCAGATTTTTAGAAGTGTAGAGATCTGATGGCTGCACGGACAGCTGACAGTAAGAGTATTTAATGTGAGATCCCAGGCAGAAAGACAGAACAAGAATTTGGTTTCAGCTGCTTGTGCAAGATTCTCATGGTTCAAACTGTTGAAGGCAAGAGGCAAAGCTGGGGCAAAAATACCAGATCCCAGCACTGTATTTTGCACAAGAATGATGTTGGGCCGGAAGGATGCTAGGGTGAAGCAAGCATCAAGAAGCCTCCTGGCATGATCTGCTTACCTTTAATGTCCCGGTGGACAATCATATTGCTGTGTAAGTAGAAGACTCCCTGCAGGATCTGCCTGGTGTACTTCCGAGTGACGTTCTCAGTCAGAGCACCGTATGCTTTGAGCTGGTCCTTTATGGAGCCCTGCACAAGGAAAGAACACGCAGCAGCCATGAAGTCCAGCAGAGCCAGGTGCATCAAGTCACAGGGACTTTTTGAAATTGCCTCACCGCTACATTTCTCAGCTTGAAAAAAAACACTCAGCTGTAGAAACAGTAAGATAAAAATTCACGACGTGCTGAACACAGCTAAGATTTGTCCCCAGTGTCCCACATTCCAATGGAAAAAGTGGTAGGGCCTCTGATGGCCAACAGTGCTACTCTCTGCCAACACAAAGCACAGATCTTTTCCTCCCTCTAGTGGCTAGACTCCACCAATAGCTCATGGAGAAGGACAACCTCAGGGCCAAGTCTCCTGCGAAGCCTTTCTCTGGCTCCTTACAGCAAAGCTCACTGGAGCACTGCTGTAAGGAGGGCAGCCTCATGGGAAACACGATCAGACAATGTGCACCCTGCCTTGAGTTTCTGATCTAGGCATGCAGGCTCTTACTGGTTTGATTTTATTGATGAAAAAGGGAAAGAAGCACGGGTGCAGACATCCATCCTCCTCAGGAGATCGTCCCCTTGGTTTTAGCTGTATTTGCTGTCGACTTAAAATGGATATTTCTCACTGTGTCACAATTGGAGCAAATTTGGGGTTCAGTACCAGAGGTTGCACCTAAATCCACCTCCAAGCATTCAGGCTGAGCAGAAAGTGTAAAGGGAAACTCATCCTCACTTCTACCTGTCCTGCAGCACAGTTGATCCAAGGCTGCCAAAGTCTTCCTCTTGTGGGAACAGCAGGATGCTGTGCTCCACGTCACTCAGACTGTCTCGGCTCTTCAACATTCACCCATCTCTGCTGTTGCTCTGCCCAGCTACTATTCTGGCTTTCTGTGGAGGCTGGCTGCAATCCTGTGGATGGGCCTCTAATATCCCTTTCATAGCACTGCTGAAGTGATGCTGTGAAATTACCCCTTCCTGCACTCTACAGAGCACAACACAAAATACAGTCAGCTACCTAACAGCAGTGACTGTAAGAATGCCAGGTTAACAGTGCACTAAAGCTTCACCTCCTAAAGATTTTACCAAGGTAGCTGTGTATCATCAGAAACCCAGCCAGAAACAGAGCTGCTGACCTGCAAGGTTTGGGAACTCAATCTATTTCCACTACCATTGGAAAGCAAAGCCCTGAGCTGCTTTTGTGAAATAAGTTGTCACTGTGGCACTAAAGTCAATCTGTATTTGGTCAGAGCTCTGGTTTATCACAAAAAAAACAAACATTCAACTTCCAGCCTTGCTGGACAGTGCCCCAGCATCCAGTGTTGGTTTCCTGGCTGCTAACAAACACCAGCATGTTGCAGAATAAGCAGCAAGGGTACTGCTGAAGCTCTGGAGCTTTACTCTTCCGGGTCCAAGCCTCATTTTAAGGCCTGAAAGTGAGACGCCAGTCCCTAGGGAGAGACAGAGGACGACTCTTGGAAGGTGCTCAAACACATGGACATCCACGCGATCGCTCGTGTTCAAGATGTGCTAGGAGGGCTTCTAGCACATTTACAAACTACCAAAATCCTTTGTGACCAGATGACTTCATAGTTCCTTCTGACCTTACAAACAAGGCCTGTATAAACAAGGGTTTATTCTCCCACAGTCTGGAGAATGAATCCAGCTGGACAGGCAGGACTGCGGAGAGCAGATCCTCCAGCAGTGTAAACAGTAACACTGGTTTATACCAGCCAATGGCTTTGTCTGCATGGCTGATGTAACTTGCATGCTTGCAAACGGAGATGTTCAACTCATCTGCATGCATTCTAGACCCCATGCTCAGATTCCCTCAAAGATTCCTGATCTTCCATTTCCCTATGGCTGTTTAATCCAACGTCAGCAAAAACACAAATGTAATCCACTCCTGCTCAGCTGGATAATGCTACCAACACAAGGTTCTGTTCTGAACAGGAGAAGACTTGCAAGCAAATAACACTGTTTATAACACACACGTGCTGAAAGCCATAAATAATTGGTGACAGCTGTGGGTGGACAGTGTACTAATAACTTGTCCTGCAGGGATTTGTAATAAATGCTTAAGGATGGGCTCAGGCCAGTGTTTGGAACCAGATCTGGAGCACATCCCACATTCACCAAGATCAGATTCCAGACTGTGAACACACCCAGCTCCAGGACTCAAACCTAAGACCTGCCTTCGGGGCTTTAGATTTGACCCATCACAAGTTGAGGGTTTTGACCACAATGTCTGACTCGATCTACGCTTTGTCAAGTCCTAGGGATGCTGAGATGCACTGTTTTGGTTTGCTGTTTGCTTTATCAGCTATAGTAGCGCATCTCAGCCGTCAAATTTAACTCCAGATCCAAATGTCACCCAACTCAAGGCAGTCCAGATCTGTTCTCCGTAGCTCAGGACAATCTTTAGCACTGCACTCACCCCTGGCATGTATTCAACAAAGATTGATAGCTTCCTCTCCTCTGGATCCCGCAGACACCCGTAGTACTGCACTATCCTGTCATGACGGAGCGTCTTCAGCAGCTGAATCTCACACTCCAAGGCATTCACCTCCTGCAACAAAACAGACAGGCTCCATGGGGAAAGGGAACGGGTACACACACCTGTCTGCAACAGGAGCATTACCCACATGTTGCTCAGAACTCAACGCTTTTCATGGTACATATGAAGCTTCCTAATCAGGCAACAGCCATTTAAGGCTCAAAAATGAGTGTTGCTCCGAGGAACCGGCAGAGAGATGGATGGGAGACACAAGCACATGGCTCTGAGAGAGGTGGATTCATTTAACTGCTCTCAAGGAGTTTTTTGTGGGAAGGTGTGAACAAAGCTAGCAACAAAGCTAACCCAGCACCCCAGGTGGGAAGAAGGTGAGTGGAGCAAAAAGGCTGAAACAAAGCAGGCAGATCTCTGAGAGATGGCATCTGGGATAGCAAGCCAACGTGACCAAGAAACAGGGAGGCAGACAAAGTGACTGGCACCACATGCTACCAGGGATCACTCCAAAGACAGCAAACCCGACACAGTGTGCACACATTGCCTTCTGTCAGTGTCACAGACTCCTCTGCCACCTCTACCTCCATCCTCCAGCCACAATCCTGCAACATGCTACAGAACACAGTGCTGCCCTCATACTCACCTTACTTGTCTCCTGACTGTCAGGATCAAATGGCACTTGCTTCACCGACAGCTCACGACCAGTGTCAGCATCATAGCAGAGATAAACTTCCCCAAAAGCTCCTCTTCCAAGCAGTTTCCCCAGCCTCCAGTTCACAGGTGCCTGCAGGGCTAGAGCAGAGAGGAGAGGAATGAGAAAAGAGCACAGCAGGGAGACTTCAGCATCAGGGTCCATTTATCAGGTCTGCAATGTTCTCAACAGGGCAGCTGTACCATCAACTTGTCCTGGAGGACAGCAAGCCATCCATTCCCAGGGGCACTGAGACCAATCAGTTTTAATCACATTGATCCTGCAACACCAGCAGTGCCTGCAACATTTTTGGGTGCTGCGAGCAAAGGAAGACAAGGAAGGGGTGGCCTCCAGAGCCATTTGTTCCCATATCCCAAATCTCCCGGACGATTCTGCTGTACAAACACAGTCAGAATGAAATGCACAAGCAGTTTTCTGCAGCTTGGCCAGCTATGAAATCCAGCTGATCCTGCAGGCACTCTACTCCAGGCAAAGGTAAGGTACAGTGATGAAGACTTCATCTTCCCCACTGAAAAGCAAGGCAGTGCAACGTGCCTCTTGCTGAGGATGGCGTTAAGAGTGCATTCATAGAATCATAGAATCATGGAATGGCCTGGGTTGAAAAGGACCACAATGCTCATCCACTTTCAACCCCCTGCTATGTGCAGGGCTGCCAGCCAGCACACCAGGCTGCCCAGAGCCACATCCAGCCTGGTTAACCTCACACAGGGTTAGCTCAGCTGATGCCCGGTAACTCAGTAGGCCTCAATTTGTGTTGAGACTGAAATGTATTGAGACAGTAGAAGCTTTGGTTCACTTACAGTTCCGAGCTTTGGTAGGGGAGGTGCTAAAGACCTGCAGACCCTTTTCACAATTGTTCCACCATTTAGGCCTGTACTCATCGTACTGCAAAGTGCTGAGCTTGCTGTCCCCAGTAAAGCTCTTGGTCCGGCTGGAAGGGACAAGCTGGAAAAGGTTTTCCTGCGGGAAGTAACTCCTGGGGAAAGTCCTCCGGCCTGCAGGAGAAAAGGGGGAGAGTTATGACAAAAATCTTCATACCAGCATGGATCTGTCTACTGCCATCTCCTCACATTGCTGCTCATACGATGCACCTCCTCAAACTAAACAAGACCAGTTTAATGAAACTGAAGCAAAGCCCTGTGAACACTTCTAATTCAATTTAAGAGCTGTTAGCAGCAGCCAGGATTGCATATAACACAGAATGTTTCCAGAGAGGTTTGCAACAGTTTAAATACGTAAGGTTTTGTTAGTTCTTCATCACAATTAAACTCTGATTGGGCAGAGATTCATGCTTCAAATTATCCCAGGCATCCCCTAAGACCACAAGACAAATGGCCACATAAGTGGATCTTGTGATAACTGCTTGCACAAGGATAGCTTTAATGGTTTTTAATGGATTTTGGTGGGTTTTGGTGTTTTTTTTTTTTTCCATGGGAATTTGATCTGTACTCAGTTTTGTTTCCCACCACTTGCAGTCTCACACAATGAAAGGAGGGGCAGCAGAGAGGTGATGGAGTGGATCCCAAAGCTCAGAGCTCATCAGCTTCAAACAGTCACGAGCAGACACTGCTACCCTGCATTTGCCAGGAGAAACCCTATCAAAAGTAACAAAGCAGCATCCTCAAAAGCAATCAATTTAAGGGAACAGAAAGGTTGGTATCGCCAGCAACAAGAAAAGCTGTTCATCCATTAAAACACCAGGCATAAGCACAAGAGATGCTGAGCACTGACACTGTAGGCACTCAGTGCTTCCTAAGAACATACCACAAGCTCTTCACCTTTTAGAATACACAAACAAATCCTAAATTACTCTGTTCTCCTTCTCCCTCCTAAATCTCTCCACCCCCAGGCACTGGTACAAGCATCCTGCACTTCCCATCCCTACTGAGATCCTGGACTGAGCACCTCTCTCTCCAGCCCTCCATCATTTTCTTACCATCGCTGTAGTCCTTGCGACTTTGGGAGAGGTGGTACTGCCTCGGGAAGGTCCCCCCCTTCCCAAACCTCTCACAGATTGGGATGTCAAAATCTGGCAGGAGGAAAGAACAGATGTTTCTTAGATCAGCTCACACCAAATGCCCAGAGTGTTTCTTGAAGGAAAGTGTTTGGATCTTCATGCTGAATTGTGGGGATACACAAGGTAACAAAACATTTATTTGCAGAGCCAGGAGTTCCCCATGGCTCGTTGAGATCTGACCACAGTCACATAGTGTGAGTGGAAAATAAGGGCCAGACACTCCACTGCTGGTCCCCATAAAGGAACCGAGGTTAACCACTGACGTTATGGACTCTGGCCCACACTGTTCAAATACAAGGCAGGGGATTAACACAGAACATGTCTGGTTTCCAAGACAGAGTGTTAAACGTCTTATTTTGCACATGGAAAACATAAAAATGAGCATGGAAACAGAACTTCCAGACAGGGTCAGACCCAACACCAAAATCTCTGCTCTGTATCAGCTGCTTATAGAGAAATGCAGGTATCTAGCATTTGGGCAGGTATCTCTGCCTGGAATTTCTTCCCAGATGTGACTCAAAGATGGAGATCAATTTGTACCCTCCAAGCTTTCATCCTTACTGGGGCTTCAGTACACATAGAAAGTAAAACAGCATTGCAGTACAGATTAGACACGAGACCATAAGAGGTGGATAGACACACAAGATAAGAATGTATTTTTTAATTTTAATTAAATAAAAGCATCACGAGAAGCCACTGCTGGTAGCACTGAATAACTTGAGATGAAAATATCTGTCATTTCCCCCCCCATCTTTCACCTCCTGTTTTTCCTCCATCCGACTGGAATGACACAACCCGTGCTGATGGTTTGTTTGTCTTAGCCTGGGGCCAGCAGTCGCTCCTGGGAGAGCAGGCCTGGCCTCGGCCTCCTGCAGCATTATTTCCCCATGACAGCAGCACATAATGGCTGAAATATGGTCAGCAAGAAGAGCAGCAAGGACGGGTCAAGAGGTTCTCAGCGAGCCACGTGTGAGCAACAACGCCGAGTGACATCTCAAAGCACAGTGCCTCCCACACCACTGGGGTGTATTAAACTTCGGCGATGCAGACAGACTGCTTCATCTCTACAGCTCAGCCTCAAAATGCTGCCCCTAGCCAGCAGTGTGTGACCGTGCTGAGGCTGGCTGCCATTTGTTCGTTTGAAATGGTGAAAGCCATGACAATGTCACAGTTTCCATGACTTAACCAGGTGGATGTTTGCTGGGGATTAAGCAGTAATCCATGATCCTTGCAAGTTACCCAATGTAGTGTTACAGATTCTGCCTCTTATGAATCCAAGTGGAAGAGGTATGACTCCCAAGAGGGTCTGGGCCCTGGTTTGCTGTGTATTAAGTAAGTATCCTGATTTCAGAAACAAAACGTGATACCACATGGCTATTTCCAGCTCCTCAGCACCTCACAGCTGTCTCCAAAACCAAGAGCAAGACCCACCCAGCACCTTCCTCCAACACAGAGCTCATCTTTGGTCTTGCAACAGCTTTATTTCCTTACATCTACTGATTTCAGGGGCTTGAGTACACAGTTTAAACAGCTGTTGCTGTAAATTGATTATGAACGAGACCTGAAGGTCCTTCAGTGCTACCACTACTGCAGAGCCAACAAGAGCTAACGATGGCAAGGAGAACCCTGTCTGTGTCTGATGCTCTGGGTCTTCTGGGTCTTTGACAAAACGTTCATGTTTAATCACTGCTGGGTCATTTCTGAAGTGTAACCTAAGCAGAGATGATTTGCTTGATTGTTTTTAGTTACTTTCTGTGCAGTAGCATCTCTCTTTCTTAACTACTGGCTTCCAACAAACCCAAACTTCCAACCCATTTTCAATACTTACCCATGCAATCAAGACCGTCTTTGGGATGACTCTTCCTTCCAGGAACAGGGGTTTGTGTAAAGGGAGGGCTGCATGGGGAAAAAAACACATATGTTCTATTATATCAGAAAGGCTGTGAAATTAGTTAAGGAGTGATTATATGCAGAAAACCCAGACTACACAGTAAGGTGCACTGATGACTGGTCAGCCCTGCCCACCAAACTGAGTTCTCATCCTCAGTCTTCACAAGACTGAAGGCTTTTTCTAACTCCTACACACCAGATGGCACAGAAGGAAAGCTGCACGTTCCTCTTGCCTCGATGTGAACACACTCATTTGTGTGAACACTGCTTATTTGCTGTGGATGAGTGGTTATCCACAGTGTTGATTCATGCATGTCTCCTCTTTTCTGTACCATCATCTCCCAAATTCCTCATGCAAGCAAGCCTGCACCACCACTGTGCACACACATTCTCTGAGCACACCAGGAGGGAGGGAGCAGGCTCATTGATCCCAGGTAAGTTCTTCAAATATGTTAAGCAAATGATATTGGGAAAACACTGCATAAGGATGGAATGGAGAAGGCACTGGGCAACCTGATCTACTGCTTGATTTAGTGGTTGGCAACCCTGCCCGTGGTTGGAATGATTATCTTTGAGGTCCCTTCCAACCCAAGCCATTCTATGACTCTATGATATGATCATCTTGACTTCATTCCAGATTCTGTGAGGGTCAGGGAATTGACCTGGACAGGCAGCTTTTCCACTCTGCCTTCTTTCCTCTTAATAAATGGACATAGTAATAGAAACTGAAATCTATCTGTGCCAAATCTGATCGCAGCAGCTTTGCTGCAAGAAGGAGGCATTAACTGTGTTCTCTCAGCGTCAGACTGGTCTCTGTGCCTGGTGACTAGCTCTGCCCTCTGGAGGCTAATGCCATCTCACACAATTAGCAGCAAGGACTCAGCTATGCTTTTTCCAGAATCACAGAATCACAGCACATCCTGAGCTGGAAGGAACCCAAAGGGATCATCAAGCTTACCTCCTGATTCCAAACAAGGCAACGTGTGCTAAATATTCACGCTTACTCCTTTTCCTACCTTTGAAGAATACAGCCCTCTTCATGCCCTTTCCAGCTCTCCAGACCCAATGACTGAACACAGCTATGCACACATGACTCTCTTGCCAACATGCCTAATGCTCTTCTCTCAGTTCACAAAAAAAGCATTACAACCAAGCTGTGCTTCTGTTGTTCTGCAGCAAAGTCTATGCAAAAAGCAAAGCTGGGGCATAGAGACTGAGAACACAAAGAAATCAGATTCGATGTATCTGTAACAATGAGCAAATACATCAGAGGAAAATATTAAAAGCCACAAAAAGGAAATGGACCTTAATGCTGAGACACATCCAAAGTGCACAGAGTCATAAACCCAAAGCACGCCACACAATCAAATCAACACAACGCAGACCTGCTGGAACACAGCCTTGGTGCTGCATGGCAAAAGCAATGGAAAATAAAAAAAAAAAAGGAGGAAAATAAAATAAAATAAAAAGAAAACCTTTGATGTGGATTAAAAAAAATAAATGTATTGCTTCCCAAAAGGACACTGTGTCTTATATACAGCCTGCCATGCACAGCCGCAAATGTAGAGTCGCTGTGCACGTGTGAGCTTGGACCAGCCGCGCTAAGTATTGAACTGCCGCCTGCCTCAGTACAATGTGTCCCAGTTGCTTCCTGCAGAGAAGCTAAACTTAGCCACTGCTCGTCTGGTGTCCTCAGCGCCTTGACTGACATATCTGTGGCTGCTGGCAGCACCCAGGGGCTGCCAAATGTATGAGCAGTCAATGGAGAGCAGACAGCATGCCCAGAGACGGGCAGAGAGAGGATAAGGCAGTATTGACCCAGTGACTGCAGAAAGACAGAGGGGTGAAAGGGGGGTCTGGCTGAGGCACAAAGAGGCAGGCTGTCTGCAAATCCCCAGCCACTCTGTCCAGCTAAGATTACTGCAGTTTAAATCATAATGAAGCACCTGTGAGCATGGTGGTATGCAACTCACCTGTCCACAGACCTGTCTAGAGACTGGCAGCTCCCAGACATCGACCCATCGGGGCTGATGAAAGCTTCAAGCATCTGATGAGAAAGGAAAGGGAAAACCAGTAAAGTAACAGATGAGAATACAACTCTTCAAGTTCCACTACTAATAAACATCTGCTGTTTCTCCACTGAAGCCAGCTGATTTTCACCATCTGATCCTGGTCCCACAAGACAAGACATGCAGACTAACAAGCTTTCTTTGCACAAGAAGTTCATCTATGATGTTTCCCTTGGATTATTATTATCATCAATTGCATTTGACAGAATGGTAGAATCGCTTGAGTTGGAAGGGACCCTGAAAGGCCCCAAAGACCCTCCAAGTCCCCTGCAATGAACAGGGACACCTGTAGCTCCATCAGGTGCTCAGAGCCCCATCCAGCCTGACTTTGAGTGTCTCCAGGGATGGGGCACCACCACGTCTCTGGGCAACCTGTGCCAGTGCCTCACCGCCCTTATAATAAAAACCTTTTCCTTTTATCAGGCTAAATCTCCCCTCCTCTAGTTTGAAACCATTTCTCCTTGTTCTACTTGCTAGCAGGGAAGCTGAGGTAGAGCTAATAGGCACCCTGATGTTCTAAGCATGTTGAGAAATCAATGAGAGACAAAGTGCTCAAAGTATTCATAAGGAAAAAAATGAAATCAGGATACAAACAGTGTGCCCAAGGCCAAGTGGATGTTTTGCACACAGCCAAGACCGTGGCCATGGACTCCTGCCTCCCCCTGGCACACGACACCAGCCTCCACCTCCAGTGATAAGCAAAGCATCATCAGGGCTGTTGGCTGGAGGAACCGGCTTGGCTCTCACTAGCTCAGTGAGTCAAAAGCTACATTTGTGTTGCTTCCTGGATGAGACATTGTACTGGACGAGATTATTTATAGCTGGCTAATAACAATAGAGGCTTTGTGTTGAGTGGTAAACCTAAGGGCTACGAGCACTTCCACGCAGAGCCAGCCTAGGGTCCAGCTTGCTGCCGGGAAAGCAGAGCAGAGGATGGCTGAGCACCACGTGGAGTTATCCCTTCCTGGCTCCCAAATCCAGCCACTCCTCCTTCCCCACGTACAGGACAGCCTCTCCATTTCCATGTGCTGTTTCTGTGCTACACCTCCTTGAGCGGTTGTCATAACAGCTCTTATTGTTTTGGCAGTCCCAATTGGAAAGTCTGATTTTCCTCTGCTTCCCAAGATCTTACTCCAAAGCCTCATACTTCGAAGCGCAGCAGCCAAAGAGGAGCAAGGTCCCTGCTTAGCCCCCATCCCATCTCTGCCAACCACGCCAGCTCTCTCCCAGCAGAGATGCTGAGTGATGACGCAGACTCAGCATTCTTTAAAAGCCTGGCAACAGAACTAGAAATCTGAGCACAGGCTGCCTTTGGAGGTAGTGGAGTCACTGTCCCTGAAGGTGTTCCAGAACTGTGGAGATGTGGCACTGAGGGACGTGGTCAGTGGGCAAGGTGTGGTGTGTCGATGGTTGGATTAGATGATCTTTGAGGTCATTTCCAACCTTAATGACTCTGTGATTCCATGTAGACCTCAGTTACATCACCTGCAGAGAGGCACCCCCAAAAGGCAGGAAGCATCTCCTTGCAAGTGGTTTTACAGCAGGTATGTTTCAAAGCTGCACTCCGAGAACATTCTGAGGGCAATCCATAGGAAGAACTACGGCTGTTCAATGAGGAGAGAAATGAAGGAAAGAAACAAGTCCTTTTTCCTGCCTTTAATTTGTCAGTGCACACATCCATCCACCTCTCGGAAAAGACAGTGGGCCACCCATGGTGGGGGAGCATCTGGGAACCTTCATCAGGAGCAGAGCTGATGGAGCACCATTAACAATCAACGCAACTGTGCTGACTTACACCCCAGGGGGTTCGAGCAGGCCCTCCTCCTGCACATACACACTTTGTCTTAATCCTCCTAAATGTGTTTGGAAGTCATGTGGAAACAATAGAAAGCCAGCTTTTGGCTGCAAGCAGCACGAGATACATCTGCACTCCGACGCTGCCAAGGCTCACCCAGAGTGACTTCTCATTTTATTAATGGCTGTAGAATAAACTGTCGAAAACACAGCTTTGCCATGGAAACACTGGCACCACCCACACTCAAGAACAGAGCCAGTGAGTGCTCCTTGAATGCAGGAGGCACGCATTCCCCCAGGGAAGAACTTGGGAGATGTCACAGCAGCCCACTGAAGTGGGCAACCCTGCTCAGTGCCTTTCTGAAGTCCCTCCAGATCCCTCTTGCAAGTTGATGCTCTCTTTCCAAGAGCACTGCAAAACTGAACCTTGCAACCAGATAGCCCACAGAGTGCAGGATGCCACTCATCCTAAGTTCTTTGGAGCTACAGCTTGAGCAGAGATGCAAATGGAGAGGGAGGTACATGCTCTTCCTGGTCAGTGACCACTAAGTTCACCCCTTTATAGAGGGAACTGATTTGAGACAGAGGTTCTGCTCATCACTCTGCATTAGATCTAGCAACTCTTTTATTACTGAGGGATTGAGACATACAAACTGCTTAATAAGGGAAAAGACAAAAAACAAACAACAAACGGGGGGAGGAGAGAGACAAAAAAAGTACACAGAGACACTTCAGACAGAGCCAAGGACTGCAGCCAGAGCTCAGGCAGAAACAGCACATGGGAAGCAGCGAGAGCTGCTGACATCCCCAGGCTGTTGCAATCGCGGGCAATCATTTGCTTGGCACACTCCCTTGTCATCCCAGGATCCGGGAAGGCCGTGGCCATGAGGGCCTGGCAGCTGGTGTGCATGTGTGCTACCTGGAGCGTCAGAGCGTGCTGCAGTCATCGCCACAGCTAGCTTGCAGGGTTCCTAGAAATCACGTTCCTGGAGCATGTTAAGCCCAGAGGAAAAATCTGTCCTGAGGGCCACAGGCAATTTAGAAGCAAGAACGACGCTCGCGGTGCAGAATGCAGCGTGCCCACTTCAACCCACATGCATTTAACCCACGAGCCTCACTTACATTTTGATCCATGGTCTCGGGGATGAACTCGCCCTCGCTGTTGATGCTGGTGTAGGAGCCCTGGCGAGCAATCTGCTGCTGCTCCTCAGGAACACTCCCTGGGGGTGGAGAGCTCCGGCCAGTGTGCAGAGAGCCTAGGAGATGGGGAAGTCATTGATCAACAAGACAAGGACTCACTGCATTGAAGTCCTGCCAGAGACCGTGGTCACAGACTGAGCTGTAGATGTCCCCGTTCACAGCAGAGGAGCTGAAGGTCTCTTTGAACTCAAACAACTGTATTATTCTATGATCTTCCAGAGATGCTGCTGAGTTTGAACTTTTTGGAAGAGAATGGAATACTGTTCCAATACTGTTCATGAGCACCTACAAAGCTTTTGTATCCGGGACAGCTGCTTTCTGCAAAGCCACACAACACCCAGCAGACTTCAGCTTTCAGCCTACCCTGGCTCCTAAGAGCTGTGCCCTGTGTCTGGATACTTTGTCAATACCAGAAAGTAAAAAAGCTCCTAGAGCTTTGTTGTTGTGCAGTCAAGCCAAACCCCAATCCCACCTCTCATCTTTGACCTCATGACGTTTCCTCCCTGGAAATGCTGTCTCGTTCAGCAAAGTGGGAAACAAGCCTGGCTGCTCATCTTGAGAGAACTCTGTGTAACATCACTCAAACTTTTCATATAGATGGAAAACAATCTGCACCCAAATATCCATCTTCTCTCCCAAAGAGTAAGGAAAAACAGCACTCAAAGAGCCAAAGGGAGAGGAAAGACTCATGGGGTTGGCCCTCCTGCCGCACGGGTTACCTCCCCTGCCTGTAGCCCTGGAGGCTCCAAATCCACCCAAACCAATTCCTTCAGCCTTTGCAGGACAAAGGAAGTGCTGCCCTTGCTTAACCCAGATGCACAGGCTTGGCTTTGCTTGTCTTTCTGCAGTCCCCTCTCAATCTGCAATCACTTCAGTGTGAGGAATTGCTGACGGAGATCTGCACTGCTCTGTGCTGGAGCTTTAACTGGTCTGCTCTGTGCAATAGGAGCTTTCACACAAGAACTAGTTTTTCAACAGGCTTCTAAAAAGCACGTGTCCTGCCCCACAGTTCTTATCCCTCTCTGCAGCACTCCTGCAAACTTTTTGGTTCATCACCACCATTTGGTAATGAGGTGTCCATGCTGAGCTCCATACTGCAAGGGAAAGGTATGGGAAAGGGGTCTATTCTGTAATGAGAAGTCAATGCAACACTTCCACCTCTGCTGCTGCTCTTCTGCAGCACAGTTACTGTGCCAGATTGATCTCTGGCATAAATCCATCACCGTGATCAACACCACAGACCTCTCACTTAAGCCAATGCGCATCAGGAGCTGCTAACATCAACAGCATCACTCCAATATAAAAGACTATTCAATCAGGCTTGCTGGATTTACACCAAACACAGAGATATCTGTCCTACAGTACATCTCCCTCCAGGCTCCTCGCTCAAGTTTTAAAAATAAAAGCCTTTGAGATGCTTTTTTTCTCCTTCCTATTTTCTCCTTTGCAGATTTCCTGCAGGATAAGAGCACAGCGAATCAAAGTCCAACTGAAGTAAGGCCAAGATCAAGGAGGGAGAATCTCCTGAGCACTGCAATGCACATAATGAGCTGGCTTTCCACCAGCCCAAAAAAACAAAACCAGTTGGGAAGCATGGCATCCTCCCCTTGAAGATAAATAAACAAATGCTTAACCATTAAGAGTTTGGGTACACTGGAGAAATCACTGTGTTATCATCTCATTTGTGCTGCATAAAGACATCGGGGGGCTCTTGCTCCAAAAAGCCTCTCACTGGTCTGACATGGTGTTACTGCTGTGCCTTAGCTCTGCTGAGCAACTCTACTCCTGCTCCCAAGGTTGGGTCTGCTCGTGCATCCCTCCCTGCCACAACCCACCCACAGCCCAGGTCTTTGAGTCAGGGTCGACAAGGAGCTGAACACACTCTGTTTGACTTTGGACCCGGAGAGCTGAGTGACATTTATCACAAGTGTAAAGACTTGGCATGATCTCACATTAAGCTTTTGCCTGGAGTAACTGCTCCCAGTCATCAGGTCAGTTGTGTTTGACCTTCCAGTGTCACATTTCCTGCTAAAACTGCAGAGGGGACAGGACAGTAACCACTTCTCAGCAGGCAAGGAAGTTAGGCAAAATGCTCAGGCATTTGCATGCCTGGAAACTGCTGGATTGAAGCAGATCCCTTTCAGCCAAGCAGTTCAGGAAGAAAAGCTGCTCAAAGTATTTTCTGCAGTTTCACACCTCCAGGAGCACTGGTTGCTGAGCACTGGCTGCTGCTGCTGCACATCTCTGTGCATGCCTACCTGCCCAAGAGGAATGGGAGCACAGCCTCAGAGCCAAGAGCTGATTTCCCCTTTCAAAGCACATGGCAACCCTGTCTGACCCCACTAATGACACCTCAGGCATTCTCAGCAGTGCCAGTGGGGTCAGAAACAGAAAGCAGTGGCTGGGGAGAGAAGACAACTCTGATCTTTAATATGCAGGCTTAATTCATAGTAATTCAACACGATGCATACTGGATGCATTAGATATTGCTGCTTTATCCACCTAGAGACAGAGAAAGGAATGGTCAGCCAAGCTCAGATGAGCTCAACACATCACAAATGGTCTTTGCCTTGAACTGATGCTCACAAAACATCAGCGGCATCAGGCAGAGAGAAAAGACCTCCTAGACTGTCCTCCTGGAGCCTATAGGATTACATGGCAGCTACAGAGCCAGCAGGGAAGGGGTAAGCTCTGAGGCATTACTTGTAAGCCAGATGCTGGCCAGATCTTAGCAGCTCTATTCAGAATTCCTGAACTCAGAGAAACTCTGCAGATTGGCAGCAGCTGAGCATCTGACCTCAGTTACCCTTTGTAGCAAGGTGCTTTGCAGTGGGATTCCTGCTCCATGTTTCACACACTAATGTAAAGCCCTGTATTTGAGGTCAGAGCACAGCATGTCCCAGGCAGGGTGAACCAGGCCAGCATGGAGCCTTACAGTCACTGCTGGCATCTACTGTTTTTTTTTTTTTTTTCATGTTCCTTTCTGTTATTTTTATTTAAGAAGTGCCTTTCATGCTGTATGTGCAGAGTTCTTGGTGCTGCACGTACAAGCAGCTCCCCTGTGCCAGGCTTGGCTTCCTTCAGCCACCTTGTTCCCTGGCCTCACCCCTTCCCTGCCCTGGCAGATCCTTCCCAAAACTTCATCCATCACTGACCAGCATCAAGCAGTAGTCCTGATGGAGAAGAGAAGCCCCATAAAAGCAAGGGCCGGGCAGGGCTTGCTGACAGCTGCCTGTGCTCACAGCTGCAGTCACAGAGAGCCCAGCCCTGAATGATGTTGCCACAGAGCCAAATGAAGGACGTGACACCAAGATGTGTTGTTCTTCCAAGCCGTGGTGGGAACATGGGGCTCAGGACACAGTGGCACAATAAGCAGATAGAAACCTGCAGGAAATTCCTCACCAACAAGCTGTGGCTGGCATGGGGAGGTGTGAGCACATCGATCAAATCTCCCTCCACTTCTTTTTAGTGGGATGCTTCCAAGTCTTCCTCCTCTCCATGCTGACCCTTTGAGGATGAATTCCTACATCTCAGCTTAAGGCAAACTTTAGGGTACATGTAACAAATTATAGGGAACGTTTTTCTAACTCACGTCAGGTAACTGACATGCTGCCCACAGGCGCAGTCTCCTCCTCCTCTCAAAACAGGGAGGAGGTTCAACCACCATGATTTCCACCCATGCTAACCCAGCTGGTACCTGGGCACATCTGGGAGGGCAGTTCAGGGCTGGTCAACAACATCAGTTGCCAGCCAGTGCTCGTGCCCTGGCCCCATGAGTTTAATGGCACAGGTACTGCCACCATGCTCGTGTTTTTCAGTCACCCATCCAGCCCGTACACCACCAAAGCCTACTTCCCCTACGATGCCCTTGTGCTGTTTTCTGCACTGCATTCCTTGCTGAGCATGACCCAAGCCATTCTATGATTCCGTGTTCCCTGCCGTCAAATGCCCCAAAACGAAGAGAAAAAGGATGCCTTGCTCTACATCATCTCTTCCCAGAGGTCGTGGTTTGCCAGCATGGGAATAAAGAATCAAGCCTTTGGCAAATGTTTCCAATCAAGTGTTGATTCCAGAATGGAGCTCATGAATAATTGGTGGATAATGTTGTGAAAGCTGCCCTCAGATATCCAAAAATTCAGAACCCCAGTAGATTTTAAACCAAGTTTTCTGGCACTCAGCTGAACATTTTCAGATGCTGGTCACCATGAGACTGGAACATTTTCCTCTTCCAATAAAAAAAAAAACTGTGTGCGTTGGGGGCGTTTCACTGAAAATGTTGATGAAAAAAATAATATTGACTTTGCGTAAGGTTTTTTAGGGACAGGGAACGAAGATATTTTCTGTCCAGCTGAAGCAAAAATAGCCAAATATCTTCCACAGAACATCTACCCCCTTCTCATGTGCTCGTGCCAACGACATGCAGTTTTATGAGTTTTCACTGCTGCTATCATGGCAGAGGCAGCAGAAAACCACGAGCCATCTCAGAAACAGGAGAATGTGACCCTGAACCACCTTTTTCTACAACATCACTTTAAATCTCTTTTTAAACGCCGTCTTAAGAGAGAAGCTGAGATGAGTTAAGATCTTCTCTTGATAGCAGCTGCGCTGATGACAGCAGAAGCAAACACAAGGACATAGCTTGCAACTGCAAGAGAAGTTAATCCTACAGGAGCCTCGATCTTTTAGGATGCCTTTTCACTACCCACAAAGCTCAGTGAAATCCCCTGTCCATGCTCACAATGTAGGCTCATCTCTGCCTGTCTAAAGCCAGATCTTCAGCTTTACGCTCCACCTGGACAGCCACCCTCCCCCCTTTCAGCTCACTGAAGTTTCTGCCCAACTACTGGATAACCCATCTCTGATTCAAGTGGTCAAAAATGGAATCTGCAGGACTGCAAACAGCTCCTACAATGGGCTGCAGTAGCCTCATAGAGCCTGCATAGCTCCAGAGAGGTCTGGTGTGCTCCTACCATGCAGAGGGCTCGGTGCAAACCCTGCTCAAACTGACAGCAAGACATACAGTAAGAAGTAAACAGTAGGAAAAGACCAAAGTCTGCTGTATAAACCAGTGAGCCCATGCTATAGCTTCAATGATTCTATGATCCTAAGAATCAATCTTCTCACTAGCACAGCAATAAGCAGAATCAATTCTGCCCATTACGCCTGGTTCACACATCACTGACAGCTCAACATTAACAGCCAAACAAGGGCCAAAACAGAAAGAGCACCAGAGATGTTTTGCCCAAGCAGTTTCTGCGGAGTGTCTCTGCTTTGCTATATAATTGTGCCTGCATTTCATTCAGAAGATTCTGGGCAAACTCTCAAGAGCCACGAAGGGTAGAAAACAGTACAACAGAAAGCGACATCCTTGGCACATCCCAACAACAGGACCAAGGAGAACACTGGGACAGGTAGCAGCCACATCTGGCTTCAGTAGGTTGTAATGTGGAGAATGATACCCAAGAGGCTGCTTTTACCAATGCTGCATGAAGCATTGTTCTCTGTAAAATCCTATACAGTTTTCCAAACAAGGGCCAACAGGTACCTGCTCCCAGTGCCTCAAATGGAAAGGGATGTTTCTGTTCATTTGAAATGCTGCCAGTGCAAAACACTGCACGTCCTCCTGAGAAACCATAAAAGCAGCAACCACAGACTTCACCACCCAGAACAGACCACGGGCACTGAGATACACGTTTGGTCCTCAGGACGTAGCAAACCCAAGCCCAGTGTGCTACATTATTGCGCTAAGCAGTAAAAGGAGAGAGATACAGAGAAAATGTATGGCAGATGGTTAAGGGAATAAGGACACCAAGGTTTGGAATAGCCTTGTCTTTCTATAGACCTTCACTCTTCACTTTGAGGAAGATCAATTCACTGTAGGTTTTTACCATTAAATGAGAGGTTTTCCCCTCACATTACACCTTAGATCCTCTCAGCTTTCATGCGTGACACGATTCTTATCACTACAACCTGTGCAGTTCATGGTTTCCTCCTCAAGCCAAGTTATGACTGCACTAAGATACTGGTGGGTGACATCAGGATGGACACCAGACCATAATATGTCCATGACTGTGACAGGAAAGGGGATGGTGGCCCCACCTGTAACAGCACATACACCCCACAGAGCACTGCGTTTCACTTACCTGTAGAATACTTTCGTGTCCTCTCAGAGTCCTTGTACAGGGATCCCATGATATCTCCCATGGATCTGGAGATCCTCATTTCATGCTGCTTGCTGTTGTTTGGCTGGAGGAGCTGTGAATCACACAAAAGGAACCATCAGACCTTGCCAGAAGTCAGGCCCCTCGTGGACACACCGTGTGAAATCCTGCACTGGGATCCCCATGACCACACTTTCCAAGAACCATTAAAAAGCAGACATGCATTTAACTTGGAATGATCCAAAAATCGTTCACAAACAAATTACATCCGTTAGCATAATGGTCTAAAACAATAAAACCGAGTCCAAGTTAATTATGATGCAGACATACAACATAAAAGACAGTTCTGGTACTGCATTATTTCAGGATCAATACAGAGGCTGATCCTTGTCCTCAAAGTTTGCAAGCACGAATGAAAGCCTCTCCTCCATGCTCCCTATATTTCAGTGGCAGCCTAAGCACTGCAGAAGTGACTCTGTAACAGAGCAGAGTGGACAATGAGGCTTTTCTAGGGAGTACAGAAAAGAGGGAGAGCCAAGGATTGTGTATCCAGCTGGTAACTTCAATACAGCTTGAGTTACATTGGTAAGACTTGGTAGTGGCAGAGCCTTACTAACATAATGCGATATGCACTGTGATTTTGTGATTGTTTTATTTATGACCTCGAAACTGCATTTCTTTACATGCAGAAGAATATTTACATGCTTCAGGAGAAGCTGGACCAACCTCAAAGCTGTACACAAATCTACCTGGACTGCCCTGCTCTTAGTAGCTGTCTTGTAGTGCTCCAATTTTCCTGCAGCCGATAGGAACAACAGGACATAGGAAACCTCAAGCAATGGCTCAGTTTTGCCCCGACACTCTGGTCCCTGCACCTTCTGAGAACCTCCCAGAAGGAGCAGAGAAGACCCAGGAGCTGCAAGCAGCAACAGCAGCAGCGTGAAGACAAGCACTATGAGTTTCAAGACACTCAGCCTCTCCGGTACTTCTAGGAAATATAAGGAAGAAAGAGTTGCAACATCTGCAAATCCCTTGTTTTACAGCCTGTGCTTGGGGCAGAACGACATGTGCTTTGGCACGGAGCTCCGTGCAGGCGAGGTCAAGCTAACAGGCTTAACTGCAAAACCACTGAGCTCAAGAGAAAAAAAAAATAAAATAAATAAAAATAAATAAAAAGAGACAGTCCTGCACGACACTGAAGGATTCTCTAGATTGTCCTCCCTAGTCTTTAGTACTGCAGCATCACACAAAGGGAACGGTCCCCGTGCTGTCACCCAGCTTGGCAATGGTGAGCATATACAAGGAGGGGATGCAGAGGGATGGTGCAGCATCCTTATGTGGAAAGCACAGGAGGTGACCCAGGGGTTAACCTTGTTTGAGGATGGTCAGGACAGTATTTAACCCATCACAGGTTGCAGGAGGAGCAGGAAGGGCTGAGTACTGCGTCAGGCTGCTGCTGTGGGAGGATTTCAGAGCAGCTGAGCCAGAGCAGGGCAGACCCCCTGATCCTCCTGAACCATCAGGAGGCTCATTTCCACTCTCCAGCTCAACAACAAGGCAGCTAAGTCTGGACACAAAAGAGCAGAGAAGGTGAACAGCTCACATTCGCTTTCTTTGGAGCGCTCACAAGGATCCGCAGGCTCTTCAGGGAAGGGCTCAGCTCCAACTGTTCCATCGCTTTGTCCAAGTCTTCCTGGGATTTCAGTGGGATCAGGAGCTGGAAGGGATTGAACAAACACCGGAGCACAGCAGTGTCACACAACTGGCTAAACAAAGGAAGGCAGATCCTCACGGTGAGCAGCTTGGGAATCGGGGGGCGAGGGAGGAACTTGAGAAAGCGGATGGAAAACAAGAGCCCCCACACCCCCAGCTTGCTGAGCTCTGCTTGTTCTTCCAAGTTCTCATCTATTATGGAACGGACGCAAAAAATCACAACAAAAAACATCTGCGAAGAGAAAGGTTAAAGGTCACATCACAAATTCAGCTAGTGGTCAGAGGATTGGGCTGAGCTGAATCCTTAGGCTTGCTGCCTGCTATTCCGGGGCTGCTCTGACCTGGAATTTGAGGCAAGGCCTGCAGCTACCCCACGCCAGATCAGCCCCGTGTGTTCCAGGCTTTGAAGAGCCTGGGTTTCCTCCCTGGAAGACAGCCGTGCAATGGTGCTCCAGGAAAGCAGTGAGCTGTAATCATTGCATCTCTTGTAGGAGATCCCAGCAGCCTCCCTCCTGCCGCAGACTGTGAAATCAGATCATTCCCAGATCAGAGCCTCAGCTCCTCCAGTACAAAAGGTGAGTGTTGCCTTCACTGCAAGAGCCACATGGACACCCAGCGGGGCAATTTCTTGACAAAGCAAGCAGAGTAGAGAGCCAGACAGTGCCCTGTCTATACAGCAGCCAAAAGTCCTGCTGTTTGCTTGGTATGGGGCAGGCTACCACCCTCTCATCTCCAGAGGTCACACGGCCCCCTGACATTGCTGTGTGGTGTACCATGTCCTGCAGATGGACTGCAAAGCGTCCAGCACCCACCACAGCTGCACTTCAGCGGGGGTTTTGCAGCCTTCTGCTGCCTTGGGCTGAGATGAAAAACACAACTATTTGCCCTCCTTTCTGGGGCACTCTGCCTAAGATCGTAAAAACCAAGCCTCAACCTCTGTAGGTTGCCTAGGGCACTGGCACCATCTCCAGCCAGCAGAGCATGGGATACTCTTGTCTGTGCCAATGTACACAGCAGTTCTGCCTACCAAAGGGACCGAGCGGCCACAGATCCCAGTAAAGCCTCACTGGCCTGACTGGGAGCTATAGCCCCCCACTTCAAAAAGCTCTCTGGGTGATAAGAGTTCACACCACAAACACTCCTTGGATCAACTGCCCAAGAGAAAGGCACTCAAAAGCTGCCTGTGTCTCCCTTTTTGATCCCAGGGTGTCACCAGGGGTTTGGCTGTCAGCCTGTAGGTAAACACACCTCAGACTGTGTGCAATGGGGCTGTGGGGATGACCAGGTCAAGGGAAGGCCCTGGCCAAAGGAGACAAGGTTTCATCTCAGGAAACTGCTACAGTTACCTTCTCCACCCAGGGACCACAACCTGAGCCTGCCAAACTTCATTTTCGGTGTGTGTTGTGTGTGAACACCTCATGATTTAGATCAGATTTCTCCTGTGTGAAATGAACATCCTCTTTCATCTCCACGTTGCAGTTAAGGAACAGGACCACATACAAGCCCCGTGTTTTTGATGCTGAACATTAGGCTTAAGGTTGTCCTTCCACCAACAGAGCCAAGCTGCAGCAGCTGTGGACCGGAGTGGTTCCTGAGCTTAGGCACTCATCCTCAAGATGGCAAAATCCAGATCTGGAAAGGGGCTGTGGCAATGCAATACCTTAGTTTTATGTAACCTGCCAGTGCAGTTTTCGGTCCCAAATCAAATGTTCAGGAACCCTACAGCATGCACGAAAGAGTCAGATAGGCAGAAATTGGATCTAGAGTAGAAGAAGAAGCTGCCAGTTCCAATGAAATGGCAGCAATGATCATTGCTGAGGAGAGACAAGACCAGTTTCCAAAAGATATCTAAGCAACAAACTTCAGGCTGAGCCAGGAGTGCTGTTCTGGTGTAAGGTATGCAAACGTGGTTGACACATTTCTACAAAAAGTCAGAGGAGACCTTAAAGCAAAGCTCTGAGAACATTCATCCAGGGAGATGGATGATCAGGCTATGCAGCTTTTGTCTGTAAAAACCATTACGTTATTTGTCAGGAAAGGACTCTAAGAGGAACTCTTGAAAATGCTTTGGATGTAGAATGAGACTTGAGGCCTCAATCAAACCAGATGGGGCAAAGTTCAGGAAGAGAAGATGATCCTTATGTGTTGAGCAAGCAACTAGCCAACTGGGGGGCTAACAGAGAGCAAGTCTTTGTGTGGGCTGGAACGAATAAACCAGCCTGGAAACACATTGCCAGACTGGGATGTGAATGAAAGGAATTGCCCACCAGCACTGGCACCTGTTGTCCGGGGAGGCAGTGGATGCCCCAACCCTGGAGACACCCCAGGTCAGGCCAGACAGGGCTCTGAGCACCTGATGCACATTGCAGGGAGGTTGGACTAAATGGCCTTTAGGGGTCCCTTCCAACTCAAATTGAATCTATGATAGATATCAACCATTCAGCGCTTTCAGAAGGTCCACTGGATAAATGGTTAGACCATGGTACAACTTGGAGATCCTTACGAATCACTTATGGTCACAGCAGACCATAGGCAGAAATGGTACTGAATGTGCCTCCAAATTCCACACAGGTGTCCTGAGACAGCCTGTTTCCTTATGCAGCAGAACCTAAAGGATATTCTCTCAGTATTCTGCTTAATCCTCTTGAAGCTCACAAGGGTCCCATAGATGCATCAAGCAGAAAAACTTCTTTACTTGCCCAAACAGAAATTAAAATGTTGGAGACCTGCTCCCCCTCATTTTATCCACAAGCAGAATTCAGCTCTGAACTGTAAGTATAGTCCCAATTCTCACCCATCCCTTTAATGAGCTGCTCACAAGAGTTCAGAACTGCAATCCCTCAGCTGCTGCCCTGAACAAAATGTTCTGCAGGTCACTCCATCTCACTCCAGTATCACAACATTAACACATTTGCATGCCTGCTTGAGAGAAGCCAAAAGTATCAGGCAGAAAGTGCCCTCCTGGAACAGGGACTGGGGCCAGTATTTAGCTTGGCTTTACCTATTGCCCATATCTGGCAAGTAGATTTTGCTCCATTTGGCTTCCAGATTGTGGCACATATGGATAACAGGAGTAGATACCTACTAGGCATGAAACTAAATACAGATCCACACAGAACCATGGAAGCAAGAACCAGAGCAAACCTAACTGGGTTTATTCTGCCTATAGAATGAGAAGCCACAGACAGCAAAATTCACCTACACAAAATTCCTAATGCAGCTTTTAGAGTTTTTTCTTGCTTATAAACAGTTGGTTCCACTGGAACCCAATGTTACAGTACAGGGCTTGGTGGTCAATCCCTTGTAGTCTAAGAAAGTGAGTTCAAAGGGTGAATTTTCACCAACTGCAGCTGCATTGCGAGAACTCACTGCTAAGACACTGCAGAGAGCCAAAGAATAGTAGGAAATGGGGCTGGGGAAAAATCTGAGAGGTCAATTAGTTCATCTTCCTGCCCAGTGCCAGACCAACTGGCATCAACAATTCTTGACAAATGTTTGTTAAATACACTTTAAAACAATCCTACTTCCCCATAACAGAGCTTCTACCATTTCCCTAGGCTTTAACTCTCCTTAACCTCCTGAAATGATGATGTGAAATTGCCTCTGCCTCAGAAGTGACACGCAAAGGGAGGTCAGGGGGAAACTGGTGGCTCACCAAGGTTCAGTGCCCAAGGCCACTTCCCAAGCTGGTGATGGACGTGGGGCAGATGACTTAGTTACACTTGGAGCAACTGGACAGCAGTGCATGCAGATGAAATTCAGACAGAATTTGCTGTAGAAGACGCTCCTTCAAGCTACAACACAGCCAGCTTTCTGTAAGTCACTGCACCATGCTGCTCACAGGCAAGACTTTGCTGGTCTGCCCATCAGAAAGACAAGCCCAGCCTAACGCTAGCATGCAGACATGCCCCGTGCAGTACACCCACAGCCAGGCCCTGCTCTTATCTCTGCCAGCCCAAACTCGTTGATTCCGTGGTCCCACCAGGATGTGATTCATGTGTGCCCCTGCTCCACCCTTCTGGCATGCTCATCTCACCAATCTTGGCTTCCCTAGGACACTGACTGCCACTTACTGGGCTTCCGAAGGGGAGTGCTGCCTTCAGTGTAATTACACTCTGCAAGGTTCTGTGGCAGGAGAAACATTAAATGGCAATGAAGAGTTGCTGAGAAAAGAGTGAAATGTCACTGAAATATGTCTGTGATCGAGCTACCTCACAGACTTGCAGTCATGCAATTAAAATCATGGCCCAGAGCATGCTGCGAGCCAGATCCTGGGGGGCACCATGTGGACATACAGCTCATCTCCCCAAAGGTCATTTTTGTCTGTTGGTAGTTTGTACAACAACCCTAAATTGCTACTGCTCCCAAAGGTGTAGGTCCTCAAAAAGAGGAATTGTTATGTATATAAAACAACAACACTAAAGGTCTTCCTCATCCCTATGAAGGAGTACCCCAAGCTCATGGTCCTGTTATGTGCTCACCACAAACCCAAGAATAGTCTCTGACGTGGAATAAAACGCATTATTTAAGCTTCTATTTGCTATTGTTGGAAAAAAATTCCTCTTCCAATGGAAAGAAACCTGGAATGAAGTGAGTCATTCCTGAAGAATTCAATGGCAGGCTTTTCCCAGGAGGGCTGGCAGAGAATGCCCAAGATTAGAAACCAGACTACATTCAAAGCTAAAGCCCAAAGGACGCTTTGGTATCGTGAGGTATCTATTAATACAGAATAGGAACTTTCACTGGCTCTAATCTCCCAGAAAAAAAAAAAAAAAAAAAAAAAAAAAGGAAAAAGAAAAGGAAAGAAAAAGCTCTCTTCACAGCCTCCCTTGTATTTCAATGAAAGGTTCTTATGCATTTGCAATTAATTCTTCAAGAAGTGAGCTATTGAGACAGATCCAGAAGGAATGGTGCCTATCTGTCATATGAATCATAGAATGGCTCAGGTTGGAAGGAACCTCAAGGATCATGAAGCTCCAACCCCCTGCCACACGCAGGGCCACCAACCTCCACATTTCATACCAGCCCAGGCTGTCCAGGGCCCCATCCAACCTGGCCCTGAACACCTCCAGGGATGGATGGGGCATCCACAGCCTCTCTGGGCAGCTGTTCCAGCACCTCACCACTCTCTCTGTAAAGAACTTCCCCCTGACATCCAACCTACACCTTCTCTCCTTCAACTTAAAGCAGTTTTAAAGTTTTAAAGCAGATTGCAGAAGGAAGGTTTCTTGGCCACTAGTATGCAGTGACAGAACCTGCTAGAGAAACCAGCAGTGATTTCACCGCTGACCTAACCACAGAAACAAACTGCAGATAGTTCTGCCTTTTCTAGGTGAAATAAAATCAGTGCTGGATGAAAGTATGCTGGTTTAATAGTGCTGTCCCTCACACTCCAAACTTCAGCATGCTCCTTAAACTGCTCCCAGGATGAGGAGGCTTCACATCCAACCCAAACACATGGTCTAGAATCACTCTGTGTGGCTCTCATGAAAGTCATCTGGTCTCAGATGCTCTCTTCTCTGCCCCATGTGTGCTCTCACCAGCCAGAAGTGCTCTGAAAGTTGGTCTCACTGCCCAAACTGTTCGTGGAGAAACATCTCCAGCTGTGCAGCTGAATTGACAATGTCTCCATCATCTCAGTTATTTCGTTCCTCCCTGTTTTGAAGTTGGTTTTAGTTTTTTTTTCTGGAGGAAAGGACAATGTATGTAGGTCATCATTTAATAAGCCTTGACTGAAATCATTTTAAGAAAGCAAAAGCCTGGTTTGGAGTCAGAGAATACAACTGAGCTACGTCTGGGCAACAGCTCTTGTTTGCCTAGTAGTTGGAAGCCACAAAGTAAGATTACTTTTCATCACGTACTTGTGAAACACTAAATCATGGCCTTAAGAAGAAATTACTGTTCAGCTCTGCCAGGTACCCTAAAATGCTCCTGTAACCATAAAGGGAAGAGTACCTCATTGCTCATGCAGACTAAGTCCATCGTCTGTCCAAAAGCATCCGTGACTTTCTGCACCACTTCTTTGAATTTGACTGGTCTTGGAAACTGGATGATCCTGCATTTGCAGATAAACAGAACAGTAGTTTCAGTTTAGTAAAACCACAGTGGGATTCAGCACTGCACAGACAATTCAGAAATAAGGACTAGTACTCTTCTACCATGAAGCACAGAACTTGCTCCTTGCTTTTACATTCACACAAATGCTGTTCATCTGTTATGCCGAAGAATTCTATGAAAAATTCTAGTGTAACTCCTCTGTTTCTCCCCCTGTTGTGTTTGCATGTTGAAAAGAAGAAAGCCCAGCAGCTTTTCACTGAAGAATCCCCTGGGTCATGCACTAGTGGGTGATTTATCACCTTCACTTTCAGCAAGTGGTTCTGAAGAGGGAATGGGAATGGAAAAGACAGCGATGCAATTTGGCATCCTGTGAATCTGCCTCTCCTGTACCATCACAGGTACATATCAGCAGGTATAGTTTAGCCCTACACTAACACTATTTATTTTATTTCAAATACAACCTTGACCATCAGCCTATGAGTTCCCAGCTCCGTATCCTGCCCTGCCACGGTCACTAAGCATCAAGCAGAGGTGATTCCATGAAAATGTCAAGCAGGGAAGGGTGTGCAAGCTTTAACTCCCAGCTCTATTTTTATGGGACCCATGCCCAAAATCTGGTTATCGTAAGTAAGTGTCACAGGCTGCTACTAAAAGGACACAATTCTGTAGGCTTGCAGCTCAGCTCTGGTTCAGTAGGGCTCAAGAGCTGAAAAGAGAAAAGGATCCAACCATGCACCCTGTGTCCTTGGTAAGGGGCATTTAATGACTTCCAGCTTGGAACCACTTTCAGTGCATGCAAACCCCAGAGGTCCTTCTGGTGAGCAGGGTGACGAGGCAAGGCTCTTGCATATAAACTTGTAATTGATTTCAGGGCTTAATCCTGCTGTGAGCTCATCTGCAGCTGGCAGAAATCAGTAGGATGATGCTGGGTAAAAAGGGCAATTTGTCCCTGTACACAGATGGGGACAGGGCTGGGTACATACCTTTTCTCTCCTTCATATTCAAACTTGATCCTGACATTTCGCTGCTGAAAGAAAAAACAGGAAACAGTCAGGTCCCAGACACATCTAAAGCTCACAGTAATTCTCAGGGAAGTTCCCCTAACTCTGCTAGGTGCCTTGTGTATATAGGAAAACTCTATTGCTTTGCTAATAGGTGAACTTGCCCAAAAAGAAGGCCTTCTAAAAAGAAAATGACACTTTCTCATCTGTGTAACTTTAATAAACTACATTAATACAAGGGGGAAATTTCAAATGCTGTGAGCTCATTTGAGAATGAGGCACTATTATCCAAGGGATAAACAAGATAAATGTCTGATATCACAGTCTGTCCCACACTGGTGCTCCCTGAGGCTTTGTTTAGCCCAGTGCTTTCTGTTGAAAATCCAAAAGGCAAAGCTCAGGTGATATCTTACAGAACACATCAACACTTGGGACAAAGAAATGAGAACAAAGTAAAAGCAAGCAACTTTTGATGGCAGTAGAGAGACAGCCTTGGCTTTTAAAACCCAGCAGTGCTGGGGCTGATGGCTGCTATTCTTATTTTGTTAGGTCATGCAAAATGCAAAGTGTATCAGGCATCACTGCTTCCTACAAAGTGAGCGTGCACCCTGAACTGACCTACTGCTCACCCCTAGAGAAACCATTAGATTCATCCAAAGAAATTCCAAAGATCTGTGGGCAGACTGGGAACACAACCATGCAGTCACTAGCAAAAGCCACTTCTCCCATCTTCTCCGTGTATATTTACCAGCTATTCTAAGACCACAAGGAGCTTTTTCTTTCCTTCAGCTTCTCAGACTGAGCCTGGGCCAAGCATACCTTAGGATCCTCTGGCTCGTGCCATGACTTTCCAATGGCATCCAAAGCAGATAAAAAGCCCCTTCACATTCTAGACCACATTTAGTCACCTCAGTTACCCAGGTCTCTGCCCCACTAACCCACACGAGCCTCCTCAAACCGTGGCTTTCCTCCTATGGAGAAAAAAAGCACTCGCCATCTCCTTCAGAGGAGTGACCCCAAGGAGAACTGGGTCCCTCAGTGCCATGGATAATCCCTGTCTGGGTGGGTGACAGCCTTTCCTGAGCAAGGGCCTTATCACTAGCCCTGGATTTCCAGTGCATGAAGGCACACTTTCCATCTTCTCAGAGGGAAAGCAGAGCTGCAGTGAAACAGCTTTGTCTCTTATGAAGAAAATGAGCTGGCTGGGTGTTCTTAGGTTTATTTTTAAACAGCCACTGAAGTTCAGGAAGTCGAGCCTAGAGGCAACTCAGTCAATAAAGCTTAAAAACCCTGGCAGATGCAGGGTAGCCCATTGCATCACTTGAAACACATCCTTTAGAGCACTGCTTGTGGCCTTCGCTGCGTTCCCTGGCAGAGCTGGAAGAACCCATGTCACGAAATGGGACATTTCAGCAGTGCTATATGCACTTACAGCACTTCAGCACTTGCAGCCAGCTCCCCAGACCCACAATATTTGGACAAACTCCAGGTTTGCCTCTACAACCACCGGGCCCAAACCATAAAAAATACCACAGCAGGTCTAAAAGAATCCAAAATTCAAAAGAAGATAAGATCATAACAGACCGCTGCTGAAGATCCAAGTCACTACAGACTCAGATCTTTGGCTGTAGAGACAGCCAAACATGGGTGGGATTCCAATTTTGATTATCTCTTAGGAAGAGGGAAAGAAAAAGAGATAGGCTTTTCTATGCCATTTTTTATTTAATAATAAAACATTCATATATTTTATCTGAAGGACTTGGCTAATTCAGCTCTCCTGGATGCTGGAAAGCAATCAGCCAGCATGGATTCACAGCACGCAGTTCTGCAGAGTCCTTCTCTAAACGAAGAGAGAAATCAGGGCGAGGAACTTTCGAGGTTTCTCCTTACAAAAGAGCAGGATGTGCAAGGGGAAAAGCTCACGCAGCTCAAGCCTCGCTGCAGGAAACCCTTGCAAACACAGGTTTCACTTTCAGCACAGACCTGAAAGCTGCGCCGAACATCGAGGTAGTGCACACTGTGTGCTTATGCTAAGCAAAACAAATTTTGCAGACAAATAAGTTTTTTAAAAACAGCTTGTGGCTGGAAAATATCATAACACTTGTTTAAAGCTCCAGAGAGAGAAGAAAAAGGGGGAAAATAAAGAGCCACGACCCTGCTGCATCCTATTCTTCTACATCAACAACAGGGCTGATGTGTCGTGGCTCAAAGCCAACAAAGTAAGCCAGCTGCCCCACGTTGCTCTGCTCTGGGTCTGAGCCCTGCAGCAAACACACAGGCTGCACCAAGGGAATGAAAACCACTGCATTTGTTAATGGGATTACAATTCTTTGGGCTAATATAAAAACCATTAACCTCTCACCTCCCTCCAAGAAACCCAGATCTTAGGTGCGTAAATGTGGATAGGGGAGGGACAAAGACATTACACAGAGCATAAATTAATATATATGTGCATATATATATATTCTGAGAAGTTGGTTACAGTTTTATTTTGCAGTCTTTCCACGGCTTGCTCATGTTTCTGACTCATTGCTAAAGCTGAATTCATCACCACCACCAAGTACTTTTTTCCTTTAAAAAATAATAATAAAAAAAGAGGGCAGTGCCCAAAGAGCTACAGAGTCCCAAGAGGATGCAAAGCACTTCCTAAACGCTGGAGCAGGCTGTGATTTTTCACACCCATGGAAATCTGGTTCGGAGCAACTCATTTTAGATCACGCAGGGAGCGTGGAGCAGTGCCAAGTGCTGGGGCAAAACTGCATGCACATCAAATGGGGGATAAAGAGGAAGGCAGAAGTAGCATCTTTCCATAAGGATCTCAACACAACATACAAGTATTTTTGCAATTTCATAAGGAACTGGGACAACAGCAACTTGCACAACTCAAGCCACGTTGCTGGCCCAGCCTAGGCCTCTCTGCCACCCAGTGTCAAATGATGGCCTCCAGATGGCCACCCAGTGGTTAATGGTGGCCTCCATCCACCTGAGATCAAGAGGCCATCAGTTGGAGCAGTGCAGGCAGAGATGTCTGAGAAGAACCTGGGTTACTGACAGTGCTAAAGGTAAGCTTGTAATGTAAGGCAGTGGCCCTCAACACCAAGCCACAACAGAAGGTGCCAGCTATGGCTTCAGGGAGAACTTGGAAAGCTCAGAGAGATAAAGGAGCACCATGGTGAAGCACAGCAGTGCCAGACCCAACATGTAAAGCTTTGCTCTCCTGTGGGCGCCATGCTTCCGTGCGACACGTGGCACAGGGGAGCACTCAAAAGGCACCTTGAGGCCCTGCTGTGACAAACAACACCAGGGATGACCCTGAGAGGAAATACCACAGCCATTCCTTTCGTTTCTGGAATAATTTCTTCCCCGACACCCTTGTGCTGGCATTTCCTCCAGCCCGGCTAACAAATGGCTGCTGGTCTTTCACTCTTTCTTGTCATCTGCCTAGGAAAGGAAAGGAAAAGCAAAGCCACTGCAGCGGCAGCAAACACATCACCATCTTCCCAGGCTTTCCAGAAAGTATTTTTTAGCTCTTTCCTTAAAACTTTCCATTTCACAAAGAGAAAAAGCTCATAGCCCCTGAGAAGCACTGAGACCCGTGGTGATGGGGGGCATCATGGCAGCAGGGGAAAGCCTCCTGTGCACGGCCCTCATGAAGGGGTCCAGTGGGAGACATGAGATGAGAGCGGCCGCAGAACCCTCCGGGAAACCGGAGTGAGCTGGATGGGATGAAATGAGATGTCGGAAAAAGGGAGAAAGTGCTTCCAAACGAAGTGAATCATGATCCGCTGCAGAGATCCCCGAAGAGCTGACTGCTGTTTGTAATAAAAGCACACATAGCGCGGCAAAACACGCACTGAAGCCTAAAATGGAAATGGTTTTGGAGGAGCAGGCTGCGCTGAGCACCCTCAGCCCCTTCCCACCCAGACAGGAGACCACATAGGGAACATGAGTCCGAGCTGGGATGGCGTCCAATGCCATGCTGGTGGATGAGGGCATCCATCATGCAGGGCCATATGGCTGCCATTAGAAATGCTGTTCTGCTCCGACCCAACGATGAAACAAGAGAGTCATTCTAGTTTTGCTCTTTCCCGTGACACCTTGGGGCACCTACTTTGCCTCAGGGTCCCTTCTGGGTAAAATAGGGACAATAAAAAAAGACTCATTCCTGCGTGCTGGAGGGTTGGAAGAGTGGTTATTTTCCACCTATTTCGTTTTCTACTTTGCTGGCTTATTAAACAATGAGAAAACCCCACAGAGCACTGTGGCATTCGAGCATCAGAGCCCCAGTTACTCTTCAGTGAAGCCACAAAATGGTGGGTTTTCTCCTCAATTTCTGGCTTTGGTAGAGAGAAATCAGCACCACAGGGCCAGGCCAAGGGGCCCTTCTCCACCTCCCCGACACGCATGTTGTTTGGATTAGCCCTGTGCTTAACCTCGCTTTTAGCAACGGGACGTTCGTTACAAGCCAGACATCTGGACCGTGTCCCTAAACCACAATAGGAGATGACTAATTCACGTCATTAGGAATTATCCACACAGAACCCCCACGCGCTTTGGGTTATTCAGAATAATCCAACAGAAGGAGTTCTGTCTGGGATTGTCCTCCTGGTGGGTGGGAGTGACGAGATACCCTGGTCCCCCTGGATCCTTACAAGCTCTTTTCATCTGAAGAAGAAAGCGCAGTAAGTGAGCAGCTCCGTGGCCAGTGGGAAGATAGATGATGTCTAGAGGGCTCACAGCTCTCAGTTACAGACATTTTTGCTTTACACAGCAGCAAAAAAAAATCGTAGAATCACAGAAAAGGTTGGAAAAGATCTCTAAGATCATCCAGTCCAACCATCAACCCATTACCACCATGCCCACCAACCACATCCCTCAATGCCACAGATCAAGGACTTCAGGACGTTCATCTCAAACCACCTACCTGGCGCACACAGCTTTTCCCCAGTTGGATTTCCACCGGGTGTTACCTTGCGGCATGCAAGTCAGTGCCAAAACAGGCAAGGTGAAACCTCCCCCCCATCCCCAATCCTTGGGACTCTGCAGCTGTTGCCAGCCCCAGCCAAGCCTTTCTCTCCCCTCTTGGTCTCTTGCTTCTGCTCCCAAAGTGAGGAAAATCCTGCAGCTCTCCTCACAGTAACTCCCTTCTTCAAGGCAGTATTTACAGACCCTCACACTTCCTAGTGGTAAAACAGATGTGTTAAAGCCAAATTACTTTTTTTAGGCTGCACGAAGACCTACAGAGAGCCCTAGAACACGAGCTGTGTTTTATTCTCATAATGAGCAAGCCGTGCCCTGCTCCCAGCTTGCCAAAGAAAAGAGAGTACCGAGTAATTTACTAAAAGAACAACTTTTAGGTCAGTCTGACATTTGCTGCACACAGGAAAACATTCTTCACAAATATTGGACTTTATTGCCATAAGAGAACTTGCAATCAAAATTAACATGGCAGAGGAATTGCTAGCTGTCATCAGCTGTGACAGAGGCTCATGCCAATACCTTGTCATTAGACTGAACACAGCACTGACAACTATCCTCATTCTGCTAGCAGCCAAGTGCTATTTATAGAGTTAAATAGATGTGCATATAAACAGACAGATGCAAAGTAACTTAATATAATTGCTTCTTTCTCCTCCATGCTTTTGTTTGGGATCTCTAATTCTTTGTGGTTTCCCTTCTTATCCCACTCATCTATCTCATTAGTGACCATAACGCATATCTTTGTTTTGCTGTTTCCTCCTTCCCCTTTCTCTGGTGATTGGAGAACAGAGGAGCCTGCCTGGAAGGACTCTTTCCAGCCATACCAAAGAAAACAATGGGAGTAAAGAAATGACAAAAAAAAAAAAAAAATAATGGAGGAATAATAAAGCAGAGGATGAACTAAGAATAATGTCAAGGTGCTCCGTGTTCCCAGAAAGCAACTCCCTTTTAAAGACTGCGGCTCATATGCAGAAAGAAAAAGGCATCCATCACTCTCCCACAAGCCAAAAAGGCAGCGTAACATGGTGACCCACAGACCTGACCAGGTCTTGGGAGGCTCAAGCTCAGCCATCTCATCTGCTGCCAACTTCATGGGCAACCTATGCCACAAAACTCATCCACATCACGTACCAGGTATTACAGCTCTCATTTCTCCTGTTTTCTGCTATGTAGCATTAGACATTCAGAATCTCAGCCTTAGTCTGAAACTTGTTTGTAAGGAAAGCAAATTAAAAAAAAAGAAAGACTTTCATGCCATTTGCCTAAGGAAAAGTTTGTTCTATAAAACAATCTGAAACAAAACCACCGATATCTTTGGAAAGAAATAGTGCATAGCCCATAGCATCACAGACCAGGCTCTTGTGTGGCCCAGTCCTACTAGCAGCACTGTCTGGCATGCTCCAGATTTCAGATTTCATCTTCTGTCAAGAGAGCACTTCAGAACCCACCAGGAGCCGGGGATGAGGCAGCATTTTAGTTGCGTTTCTGTGCGGACCAAAAGACTGCAGCCAAGTCACAAAGGGACAGGATGGTTGGGCAACACATTCTTGTCTAAAATGTTTTTCAGCAGAAATTTGGAATGCTGACTGAAGGATTCCCATGCTTCAGTGAAGCATTTTTTCCGTAGCAAAATACTGCTTTTTTGGTTTGTTTGTTTGTTTGTTTTAATCTAAGAACTGGGTTCTTAGGTTCTTGGGTTCAAACCCAAGCATTACAATGTGAGCATACTGTTGCAGGGGCTCATGGGAGACACCTGCACTTCCAAGAGGAGAACTGAGCATCCAAGTGCCCCATGCCTCACACTCCCTCTCCAAGAAAGGACATCCTTCAGCCCAACCAGCCAACCTCATCACAGAAAAAATAACAGGAACACCAAGTACCAAATGAACAACAGCTCACAGGCATGACAACAGCATTTCTAAAGCAATGTTTCCCCTGCCCCCGCCACAATTTCTCTGCTTAGAAAGATAAAAAAGCATAAAAGAGACCCAAACAAGTTGATTAACGCTTCTGAGATTCAAACATGAACCAAATCCCCACTAATTCCACTTACTATGGCCACTCCCCTCCTCGCAGACTAGACTCCCATCGTCCCGCAAGCGAGAATTCTTCCAGCTAGTCAGATTAAATGAAGCAACAACTCAACATGCTCCAACGCCCTTCATCCTGTGGGGCCTGTTGGTCTGAGTCCTCAGCCCCGGATGCACAAGTGGATGCACAAGGATGCTGACTACTTGTGCCTCCTCCATCACAGAGCTCTGAGTAACTCTGAGTGCGTAGGTACAGCCGGTCCGCTCGTGGACAAAAAGAAAAACCAGAAAGGAAGGAAGGCTTCCCTAAGCATCAGTGTTGTAATTTGGAAGGACTGTTTGATTCCTAACACAGTAAAACAAAATGCAGGAGGCAGCTAACAATTCTAAAACTGATTGCAAAGCACAACATGACCCCACTGGCAATTTGTAAGTGAAGGTATGGAGAGGCTGGGCTGTGAATAAAAAGTTCAATTCTATAAAACTCCTGCGGTTAATGATTCAGCCAATGAAAACTATTCTTCTTATTTTGACTCAATAGCTGGTTAGCTGCATCACTGCAGTGTCTAGAGCTAGTTTTCAAGAATGACAGCAGGAATTTTCGCCTGCTGTGAGGAAACAAAAATGTCATTTAAGAGAAGTTTAAGAAGTTTTGCTGCCCCGAAAGCATCCTGAAATGGCTCGGGATGGTCCCCACCCACCAACTTGCAGAACATGCTACCCTTGGAGCCAGCCAGGGCTGTGCTGGATTGTGTCTGCTTCGCCTGCAGCTGCACAGAGCCAGCTCCGACTTTCTCCGGTCAGTTCTGCAAACATCTTGGATTTCTTTCAGCATGAGCTGAACACAACTCCAGTGATTCAACTTGGACAGCTGCTACCACCAGGGCACACTCTGAAACAGACACGCTACGTGCTCATGTGCCTTCGTCTGCACGTGTCGAGGAAGCCTGGAGGGAATCTATGATTAGGGAAGAGGACTTTTTGCCTCTCATCCCACGTTTGTTAGTAGCACAAATGCCATTAAAACACACATGACAATTTTAAATGACAATGCGGTTCCTTCCTTGCTAGGCAGTCAGTAATTATGACATTGAGTGCAAGCTTATTCTAAGTCACAGCACTAGAAATAATATTCCAAGTAGATTTACTTGCGTGCTTCTTCAGAAGTTTCCTGGTACTCCTAATTATCCCCCCCCCCTCCATTTTTTGTTTTCTCCCCTTGGTATTTTGACAAGTGAATCTTTTCTTCACACATTTAGTTTGGTAACGTATTCATTCCATACGCAACTAAGCTATTAAATTCACTTTAGCTATTATATCAGTGTCAGCAAGTAACTCCTAATATTGCTCAAGGGACAATTTTTTTGCTCACCAAAGCAACTCTGAATGTTCAACACGGCCAAAACGTTTGGTTTTGGGAGCATAAAGATAAACAATAGTAATTAGTGTTTAAACACTTTATATAAGAATGACATTATTCCTCCCAAAAGAGCCTGGGTGTCTACGGCTCAAAGTTGGCAATCCATCTTTCAAATATCTGAAGTAGAATGTGCACACGATAAATATTGTATTTCATCAACACTGTCAGTAGAAAACACTTGACTAATCCAAGCCTTAAAGCTGTAGAGCTTGTAGCAAGTTCAACTAGATTCAGTGCTAAAAGAAAGAAGTGCCTTATAGTGCTATTTGAGCTATGCAACAGTTTCAGGCTCTTTTATTACCTTTAGGAATTATTTGGGGTATCATTTTTAACCCCTGCTCCTCCATTGCCCCTCTGTGATACGGGGATCACTGCAGTTTCTTTGCAGCTCTTCAAAAAGAAGTTCTAAAGCTTGTACGTTGATAACATTTGCTCCTATGTTATGAGCCCACACAACACTTGTTGAGTTGGTCCTTAACGCTCAACTAACATCTACTCTAACACTTAACATCTAACAGAAGTTGGACTACATGATATTTGTATGTCCTTTCCAACTTGGGATACTTCACAATTCCATGATTTAAACTCTGCTTTCACAGCCTGGTGAGCACCATTCCTACCTGCCTCTTCAGCCTACTGGAGTTTGGCATTTCAAGCAATGCCTTACCTGTTTGCTGGAGTAGACACAGTTTTTATTCCTGTTGTTGTCCAGCAATCCCCCACATTTGCCCAATGCTGCCAAATCCTTCATAATAGAGTTCAGAGCTTCTTCTTCATCTGCAAAAGAAGGACAGACAACTGAAGCACAGAAGGTAACCTCACCCCTAGCAGTGCAAAGCAAAAAATACAGCATCACATATGTAATCATTCAACCCAAATGTGTTGAAAGTCATGATATCCAGCTTTGCCATTGAGAGGCATTGTAAGACTGCACACCACAGTCCCTCCCAGCCCACTGTGTATATGAAAGTCTCTTCATCAGTAGAGACAAAGATCCTCTGGAGAGCCAAGTTTTCTGCCTATGCCCTTCAGAGGTCATTTAAGGTGGGGCCTATAGGCTAGATGCAGTGTTCAGAGGGCTGAATCAGTTTGTTAGGCTGAAGATGGTGCTCTGTGCAGCAAATCTTTCAGAACCCAAAAAGCTCTTGCAGCAAGTGATGGAGCATAACCCAGCTCTTCGTGCCCTCCTTCCCTCCTCTTCATTAAAGATGCTCAAGAGACACAACTGACTTTCAAAGCCAGAGCCAGTGAGCAACCACAGGACAAGACAAGAAACTCACCAGAACAAGCAACAAATTCAACCATCCAGGATAGAAGAAAGGCTGGAAGGACATGTGATATTTCAGATTTCTGCAGTAACCAGTGCAGTAACCAGTGTTCCAGTGTTAAGCACCAGAACAGGTTGCCCAAGAAGGCTGCAGATGCCCCATCCCTGCAGGCATTCAAAGCCAGGCTGGATGTGGCTCTGGGCAGCCTGGTCTGCTGGTTGGTGACCATGCACACAGCAGGGGGCTGAAACCAGATGAGCATTGGGGTCCTCTTCAACCCAGGCCATTCTATGATTCTATGATAACCAAAGAGACTTGACAGACCCACTGGATACGAAACCAATCTCCTCCCTTTTCAACACTTCTTTGGTGCACGTGGACTCTGAAATCAGCTATCAAGCTCTGCATGCAAGGTACCCAGCACGGGCACAGAAAGATGTACCAGGAGCTAGGGCAGGGCACGTCTGCTAGGAGGCAGTGAGAACTTGGTCCAAAGGGGCAGCTATTAAAGAGTGAAGCTGTGACAAAAAGGGTTGAAGACTTGTCATGTGTGCTGTGTACCCCAGGGCCATTGCTGGGTTAAGAAATAAGGGGAAAAAAGAAAGGAAAGATGTCTAAAAACCAGCTTTTCTTTTAAAGTACAGAAAAACTTTTTCTTTTGTCAACAAGACACAGTATATGATAAGCTTAATATTATTTATTGTTCTAGTAATTATAGGTTTAATGCTTATATATAAATTTCCCCCCCCCTTCCCTACCTCCCTGACCCCTGAGAATAAGGGAGGTGGTAGGAAGCACAACCTGAACTGCTGCAATAATAATGCTGCAATTTTCCCATATTTACTTTTGTTTTTTTGGGGGAGGGGGGCTGTAAGAGGGACCTCTGGGGACAAGCCTGGTTTTCCACACGGATTTTGTAGTAGGAAAAAAACCAACACACACACACACACATAAAAAAGCCTCTTTTTTTGTGGAAGGGGAAAGGAAAGAGGGAGGGACAAGTTAAAAAAAAAAACAAAAATAAAAAAATAAAACAAATACACACAACCCCCCACATATACCACCCTGTAGGAATTTTCCACCTAAACTGTATCTCTGCAACGCTCCTCACCTCTTTCTTTTTTCCAATCAGAATGACAACCAAAGTTTCCTGAACTTGCTGAAACAGAATGCAGCCTCCAATGCCACGGGGCAACAGAGCTAAAGCAGGCAGTGGCAGAGCCAGGCTTCTGCTGGCACAACCACACTGCTCACCTCTGCAAGAAGATGCACCTCTGGTTAATCCATCAGTGCCCTGCAGAGATGTTTTAGGACTTACTCAAGTCAGCAGTGCCCGTCCTAAAGAGGAAACACAGCAGGATTTGCTAGAGATGACCATAATATCTATAATAGTGTTGATAATAATAACAGTACTCTAACACACAAGGACATAGGAACATCCAAGTGAGTGTCCCAGCTGCTCGCCTCCCAGACACCCAGCAAAGGACCTGGCAGCCCCAGGAGCTGCCCCAAACCCTGCTGGCCCACAGACCATGTCCTAAAGAGTTCCAACCGCTGGGGATTAAGAGTGCAGAAGAGAGTGACAGCATGAATTACATTTTAGAGAGGATGTCCAGGATGAATCCATGGCACCAATTAATCCATCGCAACAATGGGATCCTTAAGCAGAGGTGAACCCCATCACTCTGCAAAATGCAAATGGATTGAGCCTAAAAAAAAAACCACAAAAACATCTCCCTGGAGACATACTGAAAACGTCCGTGCTCTCACTGCTTATCCCATCACATGGGGCTGAAACAGGAAAGGCTGTTTTCCACCACCAAATCATGAAACATCTGCCTATCAGAGCACACTACTTCAGCACAATCAGAGGGATTATGGCTGAGGGCTCAAGTGCCCAAAACGAAGTGGAAAAAACCCCACGGCATGCTCAGAGCAGGACACCATTTGCACAATCAGTTGCAAAACCAACGCTTCCCAGTCCTCTTGATGTCAGCTTTGCACAGGGACTGATGCTTTCCAGACGGAGCCTCTTGCCCATCCTTGTTACTGCTCCTGGGGTCTCCCAGCTGACTCCCTGGAAGGGTGGAGAACTCTGTTCCGTGGAAACGAGCAGCCAGCTCAGCCAGTTCAGTCAAAATTCAAACCAGCACTGAAGCTCACTGGATAATTAAATCCAAATGCCACTCCCAAGCCTCTACAGCAAAAGGAGCATCACAGGCTGCTCGCTGACAGCCTGGTTTGGTTCAAGCAAGCAGAGGGTGCAGGATGGATGGCTTTCCCCGAGGAAAAATACCAGGGAAACAAAGGGAATCCCACACTGAGGGACACAAAAGATCAGGTTCTCCTGATCTAGCACCTGGCCCCATGAGAAGGCACCTTGGAGGCTACACAGCAGGCATCTTCCCAGGCTTTGCCGCTGCTCCAGAGCAAAACAACTGCAAGTTGCACAACACCAGTGAAGCATTCTGCAGGGCCCAGATGGACTTGGGGACTCAAGCCACCCCCTGAACTTGCACAGCACAAGCCTTCATCCTGAACAACCTCCCAGCCCAGTTGGCACCATTCTGTATAAACTCACTGAGCGGTGCTGCAGGCTGATGAGATGAAACCCTTGTAAAACAAATCCTTCACTCTACCCAGCACCACACGTAAACAGGAATAACAGTCTCTCTTCTTTCACCCTTCGTTCCTCATCGACTTTCAGCCATCTCCCTTAGAGTGAATTCATTGCTTTGCTCTCTGCTTCCCCATTTACACCCCAATTGTGTGCTTCTTAATCAGCTTCCTCTGATGAAGCTCAATCAATCACGTCCACCCGATCAAGGACCACAGCCAAAAGGTCTCAATGATTTCCCAAAGCTTTGGCCTGCAGGGAAGCACCAAGAGCTTAGGAGAGGTAAGAAGAGGTCAGACAGGAGCACGCTCAGGAAGCAGTAACTACAGAGCTGTGATGGACAAGGAAAGGTTGACTTTAGACTTTAATAAAAGCCATAGGGTCACAGTGCTGATCCATTTTCGCAGGTTCTTAGGTACTGGAGTACTTCTTTCTCTAATCAGCTCTGTAAGACGCTAAGACTCACAGGTCCCAGGCACTACCGATGCGAATCTAGAGTACTCAGCACTTGCAAGATCTGCTACGAAGTAAAATCAGAAAGCCACAACATGACACATCTCCTGCAGAGACGAGCTCCTGGTGCTGCTACAGCGCCTCAGTTCTGCTGTGCGTGCAGCAGAGAGGAACCTGGAGTTTCAGTCTTAGTACTGCAGCTTTACTGGTGAATAACAACAAAAATAAGCAAAGGAGAAAGAGTGAGCCTGAAGGTCAACAGGGACCACCCAAAACAATTCAGCCGTCAGGAGAGAAAGCAAATGAAGAAGGGACAAAGGAATAATTTAGCTGCGTTCAGATGGTCTAGACAGCGCTGTTATTGTTGGCTTTGCTAATAGGTCATTACTAAGAGGCAGCTTACGGTAGTTCCATGAAGCTCCTTCCATCAACAGTGAAAAGAAAAAAAAAGCACCAGCTGTATGAAGCACAGAGAACAGCCTGCAGAAAGAAGGCAGAGCCTTGTGGAACAGCACAAGTTCTGATATCGGCCTCTCGCACACCAGGCTCGAGCCTGGGAAAAGTTGGGGAAAAATCCTGGGTGTTGCAGAAGGGGAACAGAAGTGTTTTGAGTCACTCCTGAGCAAGGCTGGAGCGGTGGCTCTGGGGCTGCACGCAGCCGTGCACACTTCTGCATGGATCCAGTGTAAAACCACAGCTGTGACCATTTGTGGTCACTAAAGATCCCACTGTGCTTTACACAGCTGTGGTGGTGATGGCCCAGCCCAGCCCAGCCATCGTGCCCGTGTAAATTCCAGCCATTGCTCGAAGCCATCTCTCAGTACGGTGATACAACCACGGGGGATATCCCCAAGCAGAGAGAACAGTGCTGTGAAGGGTTACAGGGGTCCAACAGAGAATGGGAAGCCTCACAGAAGCACTGTCACACCTTCAGAAGCAGCCCTGTCAAAACACAGGCTTTGAACACATTGTGGAAAAATACTGAAGTGCCACAGAATATAGTGAAAAGAAATACCAAACTGCATGACTATACCATGAATAGTCTTCACTTTGGTCTGCAAAGGACATCAGCCTTCAGTTTTCTCTTCATTTTCTCATGTTTTTAGAAAACATTTTTTTTTTTTGGAAGGGGGGAATAATGACATTTCCCAATTACCAAAGAGAACCTTCAGCTGAAAGCCAAAACTCAGCACCTCAGCATCATTCAGTGCAGCTCCTGCCTGAACGGATGTCCAGCTGAAATGTCAAGATGGGAAGAGATAGGAGCTGCTGTCTATGCCTCGTTTTATGGACAGGACTCTGTGAGAGACAAAAGCCTTTCCAAGACTGCACAAGTCTGCAGACAGAGCTAAATACATTAATAGAAGCTTAAATTTGGTTAGCACTTAACTCGATCTGGCCTTCCTTGATGTATACAAAGACCCCAGAAATTCACTTAG